ACCAGGGAGGGGGGCGGTTGAGGAAGGGGATCGATACAATAAAGTGCCGGATCAGATTTCAGTTCCGGCACAAATCAAGCCCTGGGTGTACCTGAGGTGATCATTGTCAGTTTTCTGTTGTTCACCTGTGAGAAATAGATGCCGCTTCCGATATATCGATTCAAGGTGTTGGTTAGAACAAAAAGTCCTTTTAGTATAGAAATTATTCCCTCTATCGCGTGCCATTGCTTTTATATAGAACCAGATTTAAGTCAGCCTTTAGTCTAGATTGTCAGACTCCTGCGCTTGAGTCTGTTTTGATCCAGGAGTGCAATACCAAGTTCAACCACTGCGTGCTAAACTTACATACTGCACCTTTAAGTAGAGTTCAGGCTGCTCAATAATTTAAGCATTAAAAAAAGAAGAGGAATTTGACATTTGTTAAAAAGACTGAAAGCAAATCATTCACACGGACACACTGAACGCATGGCAAAGCAACCTAAAACAGTGTCCACATTTGAAGAAAGGTGAAGTTGACCACAGGACAGGAATTCTGCTTTAAATCAAATAGTGGCATAGTCGTTTATCTGGAATATTCCAGGATATGACCAGCCTTAACATCTAAAACACCAGATTACATTAAGGCTAACGGCAAGGATGAGGTTTAGATGTCATATACAGCACATGCAAATTAATACTGGACCAAATTGAGCTTTTCATCTTCGTTCATCAGTACCTGCGGCTGGCCTCCTGCATTGTAATTGCTCTCGCGCTGTGCATTTGATCCCCGTACTGGGTGATTCCTCACCATCTTTGGACACAGAATGAGATTCAATGACTGCTAGTATTTTACAGCAACACACAACTCTCTTAATTGTTAACAGTCTAGTGAAGCTACAGCTCCGACAGGCTGCGTGAGTTTAGCAATAGCAGAGGTTAGTCAAAAACAGAAACAGGTCAAACACAGAGGTGGTGATGCCATCATACCTCAGGAGAAGCAAATCCCAGATACTCCCAGTCCCACGTCCCGCCAGCAAAACTGAAAAAGAGGGGAAAATTATGATAACACAGATGATCTTTAGAAATAGTTCTGCATTTAAACTGAAAGAGCCCTCAGATGAAAGATCTACTGTATTTGTGAAATTAGAGAAGATTAGATTAGATATATATGTATATAAAATATATATATATATATATATATATATATATATATATATATATATATATATATATATATATATATATATATATATTTCAATAAATATTTAAATATATAAAAAATATATAATACACACACACACACACACACACATATATATACTAAATACATAATATGAATAAAATATAAATACATAATACATAATTTAAAAATATAAATAAATATTTAAATAAATATATAAATATATTCAAAAAAATATATATATAATAAAAATTTATTTATAATATATTTTTTTATATACTTATGTTTATTTTTATTTATATAATTCTATATTTTTAATATATTTATTTAAATATTAATATATATTTAAATATTAATATATATTTATATATATATATATATATATATATATATATATATATATATATATAAACAAATGACTAAATAAATATATAAATATATAAAATATTTAATTATATAAATAAATATATAAATAAATAAATAAATAAATACATAAACAAATACATAAATATATAAATAAATATATAAATATATAAACAAACAAATAAATATATAAACTTATAAACAAATATATAAACATATAAACAATGTGTTTTTATGCAAAATCATTGTTTAAATACAGTTGTGTGAACAGTTGGTGTATATAACCAGTATCTAAAAGGTAAAAATGTATTAATTCTCTTTTTTTATAACCACTCTTGATAAAGTAAAACACTTTGATTGACATTCTCCCTTTGTGCATGTCATCAAAGGGGGTAAGCCCTGCCTATTAGTAGGTATAAAAGTCAGTACAAGTTTTACCTGCGTCGCGGAGCTTCAGGAGAATCATTTGGAGCGACACCTCGAGCCACAGAGGCCAGAAACTCCCGCCTCTTCTGCTGCACCAAATACGTGGCACTGATGATCTTATGGCGAGGGGTGCGGAGGTAAGGCCGGTTCACCTTCTGAGCCAGGTCTTCAGTGACCATCTCTAAATCCGTCTGAGCAAGAAGAAACACAAGAGCATGATGTAAACTAATAATATTTTTATTATTCTTTAAAAAAAAACATAAGTATTTCCTTAATGATGTTTATCAGATTTAGGAATTTTTCACAGTATTTCCTATAATATTTTTTCTTCTGGAGAAAGTCTTATTTGTTTTATTTCTGCTAGAATAAAAGCAGTTTTTTATTCTTTAAACACCATTTTAAGGTCAATATTATTAGCACCCTTAAGCAATATTTATTTTCAATTGTCTACAGAACAAACCATCATTATACAATGACTAGCTTAATTACCCTAACCTGCCTAACTAACCTAGCTAAGCCTTTAAATGTCACTTTAAGCTGAATACTAGCATCTTTAAAAATATCTAGAGTAAAATTATGTAGTCATTATGACAAGGATATAATAAATCAGTTATTAGAAATGAGTTATTAAAACTATCATGTTTAGAAATGTGTTGGAAAAAAAATTCTCTCCATTAAAGAGAAACTGGGGGGCAGAAATATACAAGGGGTTAATAATTCAGAAGGGCTAATAACTCTTCTTCAACTGTTTGTGAATGCATTGCTTCAAAAACACAATAAACAGTACCTGCATAAGTTCAAATATTTCTTTCTTTGTGCTTTTGGGCTCCAAGAAGAAACTATATGGATAAGAGCACTTAAGGATGCGTCGGGTCTTGAGAAGCTCATGAACACCGTCCTCAATAAATGTGGTGTCAGGTGGAGCTCCATCCCCTACAGCAAACAGACAGATTGAGGTTTTAGCACGTTTGTTTTGATCAAAATAACTAATTTACTTGTGTTTATGAGAACATTTAAGTTGTCCTATTATGCGTTTATCACTATACTTTTAACCAGAGCCCTCTTACTATAAGTTTGGCATTAAAAAATGATGTGCAAAAAGAAAGCCCCGCCCCCTATTTCAGTTGAATGTACATCAACACACTGAAATAAAAGTTTCATCACATGGACTTTAACATAAATCCCAGTTTCAGAGCAAAATACCTCTGATTATATTGTTTATACCATGCTGTAAACACAAACACTTTTTTGGGGATTTCAGACAAAAAACTCATTAATAAACTAAAAAAGAAAAGAAAAAAAATAAAGAAAAAAGGTGTCTTGTGTATCTTTAAATGCAAATGAGCTGCTGCTCCCCGCCCCCCTTTCCAAAAGAGGGCGGAGTGTTTATAGTCAGAGCCTCAGATACTCCACCAATAACAAACCTAACATATAATGGATGTCAAACTGTATTGTTTCTTTGGTGCACCACATTGCAGGCAAATCTGTATCAGTTCAGATATAATAGATCATAACCGGTTATTATGTACTGACGTCATTTATCTTATATGCGCTATGTCGCAGTAGCTTACTATGGCGAGGGAGGTGAACGCGAGTAATTAAAACACTCAAACTACTTAAAAATGCAGAAACTCTGCACATTTCACTGCGTATGTGTTTGCTGGACAGTGTTTCACTAGCTATGTTTCCATCCACCTATTTTTATGCGCATTTTGCATATGCGCATATATTAAAGGACAAAATTGTTTCACAAATAGTTTAGAAATATATTTATACACTTTAATACAAGATTTCTTGAGCTGTGAAGTAAAATCTAAAATTGTTTATGGAAAGCATCGTCAACGCACTGTGATGCACCGAGATATTGAATTGAACCGAATCGATGGCATGATAATCGTAACCGAACCGCGAGACCAGTGTAGGTTCACACCTTTACAACATTTTAAATGCATATATATAAGCATATATATATATATATATATATATATATATATATATATATATATATATATATGCGTATATATATATGCGTATATATATGTGTTTAAAAGCTCTATTAGTTTTAACACGTTATACATTTTTAGTGACAAGTATGTTCAATGCAGGCATTTGAGTAAATCTGGAAACAGCGCTTATTTATACACACAACAACTCACATAAACGTTCGTATAAAAATGTCAAAACTCAGCATTAACTCAATCTTAACTTGTTCCAAACCTCTTTTAATTTCTTTTTTTCTGTTAAACAAAAAAGATTATGTATGTATTTACATTTTTGGAAACTGGTACACATTGACATTGATTGTAGACAAAGAAAATATATTGGAAGACAGTGGCAACCAGTTTCCAGCATTCCTCAAAATATCTTCTTTTGTGTTTAATAAATGAAAATAAAACTCAAGTTAGGTTTGAAACAAGAAAAGAGTGAATAAATGATGACAAAATCAGCATTTTTGGCTGAAAAATCCCATTAAGTCATGTACAGTGTGTGCAAAATATCTCTGACATGGTTTGATCGATCAAATTCCCACTCACTTCCAATAAAAGCTTTGCTCAGTTGCTCCATCTTTTCTTTGGCTGTTTTCAGGAGTCGTTCTTCTAACTAGTATAAAACACACAAACACACAAACACACACACACACACACACACACACACACACACACACAAACACACAGATTAATTTTCAACAAGAGGATCAATCACTCAATGACTTCAGTTACAGAAAAACTCTTACCTGGTAACTGTGTTCGTGGTTTTTATATCGTGTGTAATAATGCATAAAACGGTCGAGTTCCTGAAAACTCTTGTGCTTTTTTTCTGCCTGCGAGGACACAAAAGCAAGAGTGACTTCCACCTTCAAGGCATACACACTCAACAACAAAGGCACAAAAGCTGCTTTGTTGCTTTGTACACATGAGAAATCAGAGCCTTGAAATTTTTTTGAGATTTTCCTCATGTCCTATATTCACCACAGTACAGTTCAAGTCACAATCAGCCCTCCTGTTAAATTTGAACTCTTCATATTTTCCCCCCAATTTTAATTTCAATATCTGTTTAACGGACAGCAGAGTTTTTTTTAAACACATTTCTAAACAATAGTTTTAATAACTCATCTCTAATAACTGATTTATTTTTATCTTTGTCATGATGACAGCACATAATATTTGTCTAGATATTTTTCAAGACACTTCTATTCAGCCTAAAGTGACATTTAAAGGCTTAACTAGGTTAATTAGGCAAGTCATTGCAATGTAGAACTCCCCATCTGTGAACTAAACTTCAACAAACTGAACTGACAACAGTACATTGAATGGAGGAAAGTTCTCCAAAGGTGGCTCAGTGGATTCAGAGACCTAAACAGGTGTATATAATGGAAAAAAATGACTGCATGTCTACAAATGAAGACTGATATGTTTCTGAAGAGGTGGAAAAGTATTTTGACATACTCAGATATGTATATTTAAAGGGTTGTATAACCTATCATCACTGTAATTTGATGTAACTACAATGCAACACAATGTAACTTGATGTACAAATATATCCCCCGTGAAGTAATTATGATGGCAATAACTTTTATCATTATTTATTTATTTTTATTTTTTTTTTTTTATGTATATATTTTTAATAGATTTTTTTTATTTGTTTTTATGTATTCCCTTGTGTGTAAGGGGTAAAATTGTTGGGAAACGTGTTGTTCTGTAAAAAAAATACATTAAAAAATAAATAAAAAGTAAAAAAAAGAAAAAGAAAAAAGAAAACTAGACTGACAGTTTCAATTTACTAAAACTTCTATGTTCAGCTGCTTTGACACAATCTACATTGTAAAAGCACTGTACAAATAGTATGAATTGAATTAAATTGCATGACAGTATATGTTCTGGAGTTGCCCTCAATTAAAAAAATTCTGGTCCAGTGTTTTTGACAGACTCAATAAATCTATTAACATAAATCTAGACCCTAACCCCTTGACAGCCCTTTTTGGTATTTCAGAGAGAGTGTTGCATCTCGCCAAGTTATTACCTTTTCTACTCTTCTAGCTAGACGAGCCATTCTTATCAAATGGAAACAGGTGATTCCTCCATCACATGACATGTGGATCCGAGAAATTTTTAGTTACATAAAACTTGAAAAATTAAGACGTTTACTTGCAGGATCTCTCAAATCTTTTTACAAGACCTGGAACCCTGTTTTAGACTATATCAAAGTCTTACCTTGTTTAGTTGATATCAGATCTAATAAACAGTAATTAACTGAAAAGAGGAAATATTGACTCCTTAATGGGAACTTTTAATTACTATTTTTTCAATTGTTATTATTATAATTTTATTTTATTTTTTATTTTTTGCTTTTATCGTAAACTTGCTCATTTATTATTATATTGTTTAACAAATTTCTTTTAATTCTTGTATTTTATTTTTAATTTATTATTATTTCTTTTAGAGAAAATGTTTGTTTATAATTCATACATTTGAATTTATTTTATTTTAAGGGGATAGTGGGAAAATAAGATACTTTGTTGTATTGTATACTATGATGTATTGCCTTGTTAATCTCAATAAAAAAAATAAATAAATAAATAAATTTTAAAAATTGCATAACAGTGGTTTGTTCTGTAGCCAATAGAAAAAAGTATTGCTTAAGGGAGGTAATAATATAGACATTAAAATGGCTTTAAAAAATTAAAAACTGCTTTTATGCTAGCCGAAATAAAACAAATAAGACTTTCTCCAGAAGAAAAAATATTATCAGACATACCGTGAAAATTTCCTTGCCCTGTTAAACATCATTTGGGAAATATAAAAAAAAAAAAATAAATTTTAAAAAAATCACAGGAGGGCTTATCATTTTGACTTGAACTGTAAAAGCATTTCCTGAGTGTCTCAGTTATTTTCGACAGGAATACCTCCACAGTCATCTCCTTAGACTGTTCCTCTACTTGCTGGATAACCTCGTAGCGCGTGCAGCGATAATATCCTCCAGTAGAGGAGCTGTGTTTCTTCCACTCTTCAAGACAGATCCAGCAAAAGTCATACTTGCACTGCAGAAAGAAAGAGAACGACTCAAACACAATAGCAACTAAGCTGATATAGAAATGAAAGTGAACAAACGATCATGTCTGCTCTGATACTTTATAGCTTTCTTTTCTTACTTGAGTGAGTTTACTGATACAGCGGGGAAAATAAGTATTGAACACGTCACCATTTTTCTCAGAAAACACAAGGTGCTGTTGACTTTAAATTTTCCCCGGATGTTAATAATAGCCATAAAAATCCATATATGCAGTCAAATTAGTTTACAAATGAAGTTATGTTTAATAAAGTGAAATGACGCAGGGAAAAGTATAGAACACATGAAGAAAGAAAGGTGTAGAAAGGCATGGAAAGCCCAGACAGCAGCTGAAATCTCTCAGTAGTTCCTCAGCAACCCTCTGCCCTTCCTCAGTGTAAATGAATATCAGCCGCTTCAGTCCAACATCTACATTAGCAGGATGGAAGATGAAACCAGAGTGGACATTACACAGCGAAGGAAACTCTCAAATGCTTTCAGAGAAAGAAAATCAAGCTGAGGAATGGCCCAGATAATCACCTGATTCTAATCCCATCCAATAGAAAATACAAAATAAAGCTCAGATTTGATGGAAGAGACCCACAAAAAGAAAGTAGACATCTAAAACAAATATTAATGAATAATAAAAAAAGATTACAGGGCCAAACATAAAATGTTGCTGAAGTAAACCGCATGTAGGTTTACCATTATAAACGGTTTATTTATGTGACATCACAAAAATTTTTAGCATAATATAAAACAATAAACAATTTATTTAATCCATAACATAGATATATTAACATAATGGACATGCTGCACTACAAGAAAATTATACAAACATATTCTCATTTCATGCAAACCAGTGGTACAGTCATAGGAATGTTACATTTGAGAGAATTTTCGAATGACTACAACGTTATTGTGTAAAATAACAATTTGCTAATAGAATACTCTAATATACATGCATGGTCATATTTTGACGGTACATCTGGGAAATACCCTAAAGTTTTGTAAACAAGATTGGTTTGCATTTTCGGGTAGCTGATTTGCATTAAACCAGTAAAACAGGTAACTTCTATAAACTGCTTTTTTCTGTAATTTAATAGCTACAAATGCAAAAAAGCTCAGTTACATAAAGCAGTAGCAGATTTCAGGATTTCTGCAGGCTTCATCAAGTCAAATTAAAGAATTTTTAGGACTATTATGAATGACATTTCAGACCTATACAGGGATGAACATTAAGGACTTTGTGCAAATGGCCCGGTTGGAACCAATTTTTACTTGCCTCATACAAAAATTGGGTTATTTCTTAGCCACGTTGTAAACATTGTGTCAAAACAAGATAAGTCTTTTTTTCAGCTTAACATTTCTTTAATAAAATGGTTTTAAAAACAATAATGTGATAAAAAAACCTCACAAGGTAGCCATAAACACATAAATGACAATAATGACAATAATAAATGTTATTGTACGAAAGAAAATTAAATCATATTGGGAAACAGAGTTGTTACATTTTTTATTGATATATACATATATATATATATATATATATATATATATATATATATATATATATATATATATATATATATATATATATATATATATATATATATAGTAATATGTTTAATATTAAAAGAAATGTTTTTGTGGAGTTAGCGTTTTGCAATTGGAACATTAATCATGTCATTGGCTAGCTTTACATAGACATACGAAAATTACGACCTGTTTAAAATGATTTAAAACCTTCAACACAATATTCCAGTGAATTTAAGACGTTTTAATGCCTAAAATGTTGTTTCAGTAATTTAAGACATTTAAAAAACATTTTATAGACACCCTGGATTTAAATCAGCATGTGTATATTCAACAGCAACAGAGTATATCGAAGCAATCAGGGAGTAAAGTAAAGCAAGACTTTGGATTTTCACAATATAAACAGCCACCCAGACACGAGGCAGCGTTAACCGTTGGGTTTTTGTAAGAGTGTGACATTGCTTTTCCTCCACGTGCTGCTGGAATGAATAGCTTCCCTCCCCCTGCTCTACTCCTGTCACTCAAAGCCTTAGTTAAGCCTTCATTAAGAAAATAACAGTGAGGCTATACGGCCTCCACGTCGCCTTTGTTCAAACACCTGCCTCTGACGTCAAAGAGCCGCTCTGCATCACACATTACATCTTGAATCAGGGTCGCACACATATAAACACACTCACAGGATATCCATAAGAGATTTCATAATGACAATTGCATGTTAAAGGGGCAAAAAGAATGCAAATGCATGTGGATAAGCATGCTGTGAAGGAAGAGCAACAGTGTCCCAATAGCACCTTATTAATTATGACCTTATTAGTCCATCATGTATGACTAAGAAGACAATTCTCAAACAATTCATTCGCAAATGTGTTTATCAAGATGCACTACCATTCCCTTGAGGTTTTAATTTATCAAATGTGTCCCGTGTGACCGTCTGTGTTCATATGTCATCAGACTCTGCATCATTTTTAAGGGAGCGCTCCGTTTAATGCACAAATACTACTGAGTGAACAAAGCCATGTTGCAGGACTAGCAAGAAAAGAGGGGGGGGGAAAGCTGCGCTGGACTGACCTTTGCACACTGCATGTGATTACAGCCTTCGTTTTTCTGGATGGGGGATTTGCAGTTGGCACAGGGTTTGGAGTTGGAGAGTAACCACAGGCAGTTGGCAGCATCTTCATAAGCTTCGCTCACACCAGCCACTGTTCAGAGAGATGCAGATGAAGTCTTATGATCATCCCTTAAACAAAGGGGCTATTTCAAACAATAATACAAGGTGGAGTGATTTGATCAAGGCCCAGTCCTAATTTTATTTTCATTTCAGCCTTATTCATCAGTGGTCGCCACAGTGCAATGAACCGCCAACTATTCCAGCATATGTTTTACACAAAGGATGCCCTTCCAGCTCCAACCAAGTCCTGAAACACTCTCGCAGTCACACACTCACACTCATAGACTACGACCAATTTAGTTTATTCAATTCATCTATAGCGCATGTGTTTGGACTGTGGGGGAAACCGGAGCAAACCCACACCAACACGAGGAGAACATGCAAAACTAAAATGCCAACTGGCACAGCCGGAACTCAAACCAGCGACCTTCTTGCTGTTAGGTGAATGTAAGCCACCGTGCCACCCCTGATCTCTTTTCAGGTAACACAATGTAATGCAATAGGTGTATTATATTATCATGTACTGGATGAAAACAATCAAACTTGAACTACAACATAAATAACAGTGCAGCAGAGCTCCTACGTTCTTCAGGCTTCATCTCAGACACTTTCTGCAGCCACATCTTCCATGTTTCACAGTCACAGGGTTCATGAGCATCCCCAAGACACTCCCTGAGAGACAGGAAAAAGCAAGAGATAAAATGAACGGTGATGACATGTTGCAGGAAACACATTAACATCTCGTGAATCTCAGAAAACCAGTCCTATCTTTATAAACAGATCATATTTGAAAGAAAATCTCACATTTTAAGAGCACATAAGATCTTGTTACTATAAAAACACATTCTTTTTAATAAAACACATGTATTTTTCATTATGTTATATGTTTATTTTGATCATGTATATAAGTTTTACATTTAAAGTTTACATTTATAATTTACAAATGAAAAAAATATTATTTTACTGCATTTTGTCATTTATTTTTAAAGTTTACAAATGTAATTTCTTTCTTTTCGTAGCTGTAATTTAAACAAACATAAAACAAAACTACAACCAAATTCATATTAAGGGCCCTATCGTACACCCGGTTTAATAAGGCGCAAGACGTGTTTGCCCCTATGTGTTACTTTTTTTAGACCAAAGCAACCTTAATTTTCCCATTTTCCGACACGTTGTTTAGATAGCAAATCCATTTGCGCCACTTTGTAGACTCATGGGTTTGCCGATCTAGAAAAGAGGTGTGTTAAGGTGCATTGTTGGCACGTTGCTATTTTGAGGAACTAAAATAGACTGTGCAATAGACCAGCTAAAAGCAGGTCTAAAGTCCGCAGAGCCCATTAGTTGCGCGTCTCACTTAAACATTGCTTAATACACACAGGATGTGCAGAAATATGATTGAACTGTTTGGCCATAATGACCAGTGTTACATTTGGAGGACAAATGTGAAGTATGGGGGCGGCAGCATCATGTTGTGGGGCTGTTTTGCTGCAGGAGCGACTGGTAAACTTTACAGCATAGATGGCATCATGAAGAAAGAACATTATGTAGAAATGCTGAAGCAACATCTCAAGACGTCAGTCAGGAAATTAAAACTTGGCCACACATGGGTCTTCCAAACAGACCATGACCCTAAGCATACTGCTAAATTAGTTAAAATGTGCTTTGAGGACAACAGAGTGAATGTTTTGAAGTGGCCATCACAAAGCCCTGATCTCAATCCTATAGAAAATTTGTTGGCAGAGTTGAAAAAGCTTGTGCGAGCAAGACAGCCAACAAATCTGACTCAGTTACACCAATTCTGTCAGGAGGAATGGGCCAAAATTCCTGCAAACTATTGTGAGAAACTTGTGGAAGGATACCGAAAACATCTGACCAAAGTTATACACTTTAAAAACAAAGCTAAAAAAAAATACCAAGGAAATGCGTGTAAACTTTTGACTGTCATTAATAAAAATTCTCAAAAAAAAAATAATAATAATAATTCTTTCATTATTTTGGCATTTAGCAAAGTAAACGATTTAGGTAATCCTAAAATAGTAAATTAGTATTTTTTGTATGATTTACCATCAGACATTTCTTTAAAAATGCTTCTGTTCCTTTTTTATACGTGTACGTAAATTTCTGGTTTCAACTGGATATATAAAAAACACTGCTTCCATGCCTCCATCTCAAGGGGGGAATAAAACAAATATTTATATTTGTTTTATTAAAAACAAGCTTATATTTGTCCACCTGTCAGGTTTTGGCCCATATGGGGCACAGCATGTGTGTTTGTATATAACCCAGGTTTTTGACCACACTTTGTTATTATTGTTCATCTATTTGTTTGCTGGAAGTTAGAACTGAATTTAGAAATAGTTTAGAAATAAAATAGCGTTAAAACAGAGCCCAAATGGTTCTTTTAAAAAGTTTATACCATGCTTTCTTACAAGATGTAATGTAACCCCTAGCTGTCCCCTGACCTCCTCACCAATAATGTATTGATTATACCATGCTGCAAATGTTCTTTTGGGCAGAAATGTATTGTTTTTCGCTTTAGATGCAAATTAGGTGCCACCAGCTTTTCCAGATGTGATGCTGCTTTCACAACAGATGCAGAAAGCGCTGCATATCCCCTGATCTATAATACACATGACAAATAGATCAGTGCATGAAACCCATTCATTTCAATGGCTTGTGCCATGCTAGGGCTGTTTGTTGCCACCAAATCACAAGAGCAGTGGAGCGCATTAGCATCTAGCTTGAATTCACTCCACATTCAGAAATCAAAATAGTTCAATATTCAGCTCTGTGGATTTTCCGCTAATGTAGTCATATTTATTTACGCATAAATCGTACATGCTTTCAACAATATTGAATTGTCTTCCAAAGATTTAACTATATGCATTCACTATTTACTTCTAACTCTATTTTTTAAATATATGTATTATCTGTTTTTGTCCTGTCTCTGTCATTCTGTTGCACTGTAGAAGCTCATGAAGCAGGGGTCACCAAACTTGTTCCTGAAGGGCCGGTGTCCGTGCAGGGTTTAGCTCCAACTTGCCTCAACACACCTGTTTGGGTGTTTCAAGTATACAGAGTAAAGCCTGGTTTTTACTTCTGCGCCAAGTGACCGGCGTGACCCACGGCGCATGCAACACGCGTAGCTGTGCATTTATACTTCTGCGCGGTGTCTGTTGGTCTGCATTAACACTTCCGAAACGCTAGTTGGCAGTGAGGTGTAAATGTTCCTCTGTGTCGAGTTTCTTCGCTGCTGTTTTGCGTTTTCTGAACACTTCCTGGATGTACAAGTGGCTCAAACTCGCTCATTTTGAGGCAGGAACCGGCGGACGTGCAACAACTTTAACTATGAGGTAAACACAAAACAAAACTTTCCATCCGGAGCTCCTTATGGGGACTCCTCACTTGTAAACAATTGCTCCATCAGGCTCGCACCATTCACGCAGCTCTCAGTCTCGCCCAGACTCGTCAGCTCTACCAAGGCAACCAATCACAGAGCTTGCGCTACGCGTCGTTGCGACGTGTAGTTACATTTTTTTTAAGGTGCACGTCAGCGACGCCGACTGCCACGGCGAAGGGCTATGCATCAGCGCCAGCGTTTGACGCAGAAGTATAAATCAGCCTTAAGACCTTTTTTAGCTAGTTCAGGTGTGTTTGATTAGGGTTGGAGCTAAAATCTGCAGGACACCGGCCCTCCAGGAACAAGTTTGGTGACCGCTGTCATAAAGTCACGAAAAAAAACTCAATAAAGCTCTTTCTGATTCTGAAATTAAGTCATTTTTAAGACATTTTTTGCATTACTTCTATATTTGTTTATCCATTTTTTATATTTGAACCTGATATTGATGTTGTTTCTTAACATTTGTTTATGTAGCACTTTGAGTTGCTATATGTAGGAAAATTACTATACAAATAAAAATGTATTATTATTTGTATTAGTTTTCTACGCATGAATCACACATGCTTTCAACATTATTAGCATAAGCCTTTTACGGTTTTCTGTATATCCATTGTGTTTAATTTAGTTTGTTTATATATTTGACTATTAAATTAAATTAATAAATGGGAGATTGGTTGACTAATTGCTTTAATGAACAACTACTGATCGACTAAGAAACTCTTTTGTCAAAGACATCTGTAATTATCCAAGATTTTCAGACAATATTCATAACCTAATACCATTTTTAATATGATAAATGATCAAAACTTTGTATTAATTCAATCAAAATATAATTAATTTCAGTAAAATAGTCTGATACTTTATCCTGCTGCAATGCTCAGAAAATTACGGCTCTCAACTCATTCATTTTCTTGTCGGCTTAGTCCTTTTATTAATCCGGGGTCGCTACAGCGGAATGAACAAGCAACTTATCCAGCACGTTTTTATGCAGCGGATGACCTTCCAGCCGCAACCCATCTCTGGGAAACATCCACACACACTCTCACACACACTCATTCACTATGGACAATTTAGCCTACCCAATTCACCTGTACCGCATGTCTTTGGACTGTGGGGGAAACCGGAGCACCCGGAGGAAACCCACGCGAATGCACGGAGAACATGCAAACTACACACAGAAACGACAACTGAGCCAAGGATCGAACCAGCGACCCAGTGACCTTCTTGCTGTGAAGCAACAGCACTACCTACTGCGCCACTGCTTCGCCGGCTCTCGCAAATTCACTAATAATAAAATTAACAACAATAAAATGTGGTTATTTTATTAAATTGCTTTAACACCAATATAACTGAAGCTTAGCTTAAAACGTCTTGTTTTTTGGCCAAATGCATCCACAACTAGAAGCATACCTAACTGTTCTCAGAACCATTAGGCACCATAGTGGAAAACACGCTTTTATTTATTTTAAGAGCAATGTGGGAAAGATACGAATGAATAATGCACAGACAAAAGGAAACACACCAGCAGAAGAGATGTCCTTTTCCACAGTCTACAGCAGGGGCTTTCAGCAACGGGAAGCTCAGCGGGTCAGAAGCTCCAGGGCCTGGTCGAGTCAGACGAACGGCTCTTTCACATCTGGCTACAGGGCACCAGTGGATTGCAGGATTATTATCCACAAACGCCTGCAGATGAAAAAGAAACCTGTTAAAACCCCCTCTTTGTATCTGATGACGTAAATTAAACAAAAACCAAAATCTCCAAAACCAATTTCAGTCTATACATCATCTAAATCCAAATCGGCGTGATATTTAGCCAATGTTTGACTCCTGAGCTTGTTTACAAAAGCTGTTTTTTCCCCCTTAAACAAACACTAGCATGAGCTCAGCATTTTGATTCACAGCCGGCATCAGACGGTGTGAGATAAGACTGAAGAAATGGCAGGTCTGAAACGCTTTCTACCACTTTGTGAGCCTCGATTGTACCTTAATGTCAAACTGCAGGTAGCGCTTATCCATTTCTCTGGAGACGACGCTTTCAATGACCTCCACTGGAACCAGCTGGAAGCAGTCGTAAGCAGGGCAGAAGATGTTATGAGCCTCCCCTTCTTGGATCTTTAGATTTAAAAACCTGACATCCAGACAAAAAAAAAGCGTATGAATGCTTTTTCAGTGATGGATTTTTCCTCTAAATTTTCTCCATAGACTTTACATTGAATCATAGGGAGAAAGATTGTACTTACTAAATTAATGTAAATTAATCCCAACATTACATTTTAAGTTGAAAAATGATAAGAAATATGCAGGTTTTTGATTGCAAATCCCATCTCAGAATGGGTTATGTTGGTAAAATATTACCCAACTGACTCAATGTCTACAAGTATTAAACAATATCTAGTACTCAACATCTAAAGTGGAGTTTTTCAGAAACAGTCAAGACAAAAATGAGTGTTGTTCCTATTGTTTTAGGGTGCTTTCACACCTAGACTTTTGTTTCAGAACCTGTCTCGTTTGCCCAGTTAGCGCAGTTCGTTTGGCATATGTGAATCCAGCAATCGTGCTCGGATCTGCGCTAAATCAATCGCTCTGAGATCGCTTGAATGAGGTGGTCTCAGCTTGATTGAAACAAACTCTGGAGCGGATTGATTGTAGTGAAAAAGCAAACGACTCGAACCCGGCTATATCATAGTGTTTATGGATATGTAATAGGCATACAGCTATATTAGGAGAGAATTATGAGTAGAGCGGGAGGTCATTCCAGACATCCCAAGTCCCTCGGAAGTTTCAGGAGTCTCCCGCAAATGCACAGAGACTGCCAGCAAACGAGTAATAATCTCCTGGAAATCGCACGTCTCCCTCCCGGTCAACAAATACGTCGCGCACCCTTCCCACTGCATCCCTTTTCGCTCTTCAGACACGTCGCACGCACCTTGTCAAACATCACCAAACCACCACCCCCCGTGACAGCTGAGCGGGCCTCTGCAAAATAAACCCTGAAACTCTGACCAATGTAACACGTGATTTGTTTTAGCTCCTTTGGTCCATTTAGAAATTTTGCCGTGTGAAAGCGAAACGCACCAAGAGAAAAAAGGTTTCGGAACAACTGAACCGATTCACAGGTGTGAGAGCACGCTTAGAAGAACTTTAATGAAAGATTTTGATCCAAATCAAATGTTGACTACTGTATTGACAGCATACTGAACTATTCATGCATTTCTGTTCAAAAGTTTGGAGTTCCACTGTAAGCCAAATTTCCACAGCCTTTCCGCCTCATTTTTCACGTAAGAGTGTTGAGTCCATTGTAGCTTAAATGTGACTTTCAGTCTCATTCACTTCTATCCATTTTTAGCAAAACTAAACAACTTATCTTGCTTGATGTTGTAAAAAAAAAAAGAAAAAAAATCACATTATTTTAATATATTTGAAAATGCCACAACAACAATGTGAAACGACACATACAAAACACGATATAGATTTTATTTGTTTAGATAAAAATGAAAAGTAACAGTTTAAATAAAAAAATAAATAAATAATGACTTTTCATGACTTGGGGAACAAATAATAAAAAAATTAAATAAAATAAAAATAATAGTAATAATAAAATTCACTGATTTTAATGTCTGAAATAGACCTTTTAAATTTCCACAATATTCCAGAAATTTCATGACTCGTAGAAATCCTAATAATATATATGTTTACAGTTTTGTATGCTGAGCAGGCTACAAATATTTAACAAAAATATTTTTTTTAAAAATGCTATTCCATGCAAATTTCAACCTTGCCATGAAAAAAGAATGTTTTATTAAAATAGCGAAACGCTCTTTATGTTTTTTGTGTATGCTTCTATTTTACAGTACTGTAAAAATACGCAATAATGTTTTTAAACTATTATATTTGATTCACCAAAGTCACACATGTGCCAATTTCACACCTGTCACATCCATAACAGAGCTTTTTCCCTCATAAACACAAAAATGTCAAATAAAATAAAATCAATAATGTTTGATCTTATCCTTTTGATTATCATTATTTATTTTGGGTTGTGCAGTTTAATTCACAGAACAATTTCTACAAAGTATGTTGTATCCTGTAAACTTGTAGACTTTTTTGGTCACATCCATAACACATGCATATTTTCCTTATTTAAAGGATAAAACATGTACAGATTGATATTTTTATTGATCTCATAACTCTGTGGTTAGTTGTTCTGGAAAATATAAACAGACGTTTCAATATAAATGTTAACATACAGTTGAAGTCAGAACAGACTGGGACCGGGAAAAGGTTTATATATATGTTTATTTTTTCCTCAATTTTTGTTTAAAGGAGGGAAGATTTTTTCTCAACACATTTCTAATCATAATAGTTTTAATAACTCGTCTCTAATAACTGATTTATTTTATCTTTGCCATGATGACAGTAAATAATATTTGACTAGATATTTTTCACTTCTATACAGCTTAAAGTGACATTTAAAGGCTTAACTAGGTTAATTAGGTTAACTAGGCAGGTTAGGATAATTAGGCAAGTTATTGTTTAACGATGGTTTGTTCTGTAGACTATCTGAAAAATATAGCTTAAAGAGGCTAATAATTTTGTCCTTAAAATGGTGTTTAAAAAATTGGAAAATAAGACTTTCTCCAGAAGAAAAAATATTATCAGACATACTGTGAAAATTTCCTTGTTCTGTTAAACATCATTTGGGAAATATTTTTAAAAGGACAAAAAAAATTAAAAGGGGGGCTAATAATTCTGACTTCAACTGTATACTTTCTCTGTGAATTTATGTTTTGTGTTTTTACAGCAAATATCACATCCATAAGGCTGGAATTGCTTTAATACTCATTAAACAAATATAACTTCTAATTGAATGGATGTTCAAATTTAATGCATTCCTGTGATTCAACTTTCAGCATTGTCACATAATCTTTTAGAAATCCTTCAGATATGAGAATTTGATGATCAAGAAACATTTCAAACTATTAAATTTGCATATTTTTGTGTAAACTTTGATGCACTTTTTATGATTCTTTTACGTTCACAAGAAACTCCATTAAAATGTGAACTTTATTTTTTAAGATTTAAGAGAAATTTTTAAAACTTTTAAAACTTAAAAAAAAAAAAGATTTTCATCAGAGAAACCCAAAAGTCTTTGTGTATAATAATACAATAACCTATAGCAGATGCATCGTGAGGAAACTCAACACAAACATGCACCCATATGATCTATTCTAAACAAATAAACGTATATATTCCAATCGCTTACCCTTCCCAGCATGCCCGGCAGAACTCGTGTCCACATGACATGTCCACGGGGTCCTCAAACACAGATATGCTGCTCATGCAAATCCCACACTACATAAGCAAAGGACATTAAAGAGACAGTGTCAAATCTAAACATATACAGTACAGTTAAAGTCAGAATGATTCGCCTTCCTGTGAATTTTTGTTTTCTTTTTCAAATATATCTCAAATGATATTTAACAGAGCAAGGAATTTTTCACAGTATGTCTGATAATAATTTTTCTTCTAGAGAAAGGCTTATTTGTTTTATTTCAGGTAGAATAAAAGCAGTTTTCAATAAAAAAAAAAACTGTATTATTAGCCCTTTTAAGTATTATTTGTTTTCGACTGTCTACAGAACAAACCACTGTTTAGGGATGCACAATATATCGTCGGCCACGTCGTTATCGGCCGATAATTGCTATTTTTTAGATTATCGTTAACGATCCAATGTCTAAATTAGGCCGATATCTTCAAGCCGATAAATGACGTAATAATACAGAACTGCCTGCCTCGCAAATGCGTGGGCAGAACTTGTTCAGACTTGTCCAGTGCACTATAATGGAGCTCTCCTCACATTGTGTATTTCTTCAAAGTCTGTTCTTTCTTCATGTGGTATTGATGTGCGTAAAAAACTCAGTAAGTAACCATGTTCCTTGATCATTGTAGATATGTTTGATTGAGTGCCATTGTATATTTTGCTTTAAATCGCCTCAGGAAAAAATATTACATGTGTAAACAGCAGTGATGCACACATGCTTAACAACTTGTTTGGTTGTTTGTAATCTAATATGATTATTTGTTATTATCTACACGTTGCTTGCCATGTGTTGTTGATGTAAGATTGTATTCAGTTTGATCCCAATATTCTAAAGATTAGATCGGAAGAATCTAAAACACCAAATAGGATGAATCTTTTTTAACCTATTATTTTTATGCAACAGTCAAGTTGCTTGTTAATTTGCTATGAAGAAAAGGAAGTAATTTATTTACTGCATGCTGATTTATGTGAAATCGTGAATATAGGTCTATATAATCACCTTGCAATTTTGAAATTATAGCTTTTTTGCTTTGAGCATAAACTATTCAGTTCATAAGAGCAGTTCAATCTTGTATGAAGTTTGCTGTATAAAAATATAACATTTTGAAATATTTATAATTATTGGCCTATATATACCTACAATTCTGTAGAGTTGTTATAAAGAGATTCCTACCATTGTTATACAATGACTTGCTTAATTACTCAAATTAACCTAAATAACCTAGTTAAGCCTTTAAATGTCACTTTAAGCTGAATATTAGCATCTTGAAAAATATCTAGTCAAATATTATGTGCTGTCATCATGGCATAGATAAAAGTAAATTAGTTATTAGAAATGAATTATTATGTTTAAAAATGTGTTGAAAAAAAATCTCCTTCCCGCTAAACAGAAATTAGGAAAAAATATCCAGGAGGACTAATAATTCAGGAGGGCTAATGATTCTGACTTGCAGTAATGCATAGAGATGAATCTGACCAGAGCAAGGCCGTCAGTGGGCGACAGCAGGCTGATCTCATCAGGAGAGGTGACGGAAGAACGGGTTGTTCTGGGGGTTCGGGGTGAAGGCAGGGTGTCCCAGGCATTGTAGCCGCTGGGTGGAGGGGTTGGCATCTGAACACCTGAACGCTGGCAGCACTCCTCGGCATTAGACATCCAGTCCTCCAGAAGCTTTTCTCGGTCCCAGTCTGTTCAGCAGAAGAGCAGCTTTAAAATGACAGGCTAGAGGTGTACATAATGTAGCTTAATCTTTTATGTATTGTGTGTTGCTTTATTCCTTTAATAACCTTTAACAACACACACACTTAATACACTTCATTAATGTACACATGGACATCACCTATATGCATTATAAGTGCATCTTAACTATGTTTATATATAATAACTTTAACTGTTAAAAGCTTTCAGTTACGAATTAGTTAGTAAAAATTATTAGTAACTAATAAAGTTATGGTAACTTATAACCTCAACTTTTCCCGAATTTGATTTAGATGCAATAATGTTCACGTTTTTGTTCGTTTGCATGTGCTGCTTTGAAACAATAATTACTGTGAAAAGCGCTATACAATTAAACTTGAGTTAAACTGAGTTGAATCTTAGTTGATCATTTTTATTCAAATATTTTGATGTTAACACAATTGTCGATAACTCTTGTTGTATTTTGCTATATACAGTAAATAAAGCACTATGATGTGATGAAATATATTTGAATAAGCCTAAAATTCATACACGCGTACATATATACAGTTGAAACCAGAAATTTACATACACTCTATAAAAAAAGGAACATAACCATTTTTAAAGAAATGTCTGATGGTAAATCATACTAAAAGTTTACTATTTTAGGATTACCTAGATGATTTACATTTGCTAAATGCCAGAATAATGATATGCATGTTTTATTATTATTAATTTCTAGACAGTTAAAAGTTTACACACATTTCCTTGGTATTTTTTTAGCTTTGCTTTTAAACTGTATAACTTTGGTCAAATGTTTTAAGTCTCCTTCTACAGGCTTCTCACAAAAGTTTGCAGGAATTTTGGCCCATTCCTCCTGACAGAATTGGTGTAACTCAGTCAGATTTGTTGGCTGTGTTGCTCGCACAAGCTTTTTCAGCTCTGCCCACAAATTTTCTATAGGATTGAGATCAGGGCTTTGTGATGGCCACTCCAAAACATTCCCTCTGTTGTCCTTAAAGCACATTTTAACTAATTTGGCAGTATGCTTAGGGTCATGGTCTGTTTGGAAGACCCATTTGTGGCCAAGTTTTCATTTCCTGGCTGATGTCTTGAGATGTTGCTTCAGTATTTCTACATAATGTTCTTTCTTCATGATGCCATCTATGCTGTAAAGTGGACCAGTCCCTCCTGCAGCAAAACAGCCCCACAACATGATGCTGCCGCCCCCATTCTTCACAGTTGGGATGGTGTTCCTAGGCTTGTAAGCTTTCCCCTGTCCTCCAAATGTAACACTGGTCATTATGGCCAAACAGTTCAATCTTAGTTCCATCAGACCACAGAACATGTCTCCAAAAATTATTCCTTTTCCCAGTGTAATTTAGCAAATTGTAATCTGGCTTTTTTGTTGATTTTGCCATGTTGTCACACAAGGCAGCAGTGTGTTTGAGGTTTACCTTAAACACTGTTCTACAGTTGTGCCTCCAATTAACTCAAATGTTGTCAGTTAGCCAATCAGAAACTTCTAAAATCTTGACATCATCATCTGAGCTTTTTCAGAGGCAGAATAATCTTATTGTATGTAAACTTGACTATAAAGAAAAGTTATAACAATTTCTCAAAAAAATATCTCTCATTATTCTGCTGTTAAGCATACCAGAAACACATTTAATAATCCTACATAAAAAAAAAACGTTTAGTCAAATTAACATCTGACTTTTTTTAAATGGTTATGTGCCTTTTCATAGTGTATGTAAACTTTTGGTTTCAACTGTATATCCATGGCCATCTGTATAAAATAGTTGTTTATATAAATATGTATATACAATACAAATGTATATAAATTAAAATGTAAATATACTGATTATGTATATTTTTGTCTCTTATTTACAGTATATGCATTTTTATACATATACATAAACACAGAGAGAGATAGCTTTGAGATATGATTTAGGTCAGTAATATCAAACAAGCAAGACTGCTATTATTTCCTGATTATCTTAATCTGAAGTTATTCTATGTAACATTTAGACAAACAGTAAGTTAGAATGAGTGAGGTACATTTTACATACAACATCATCAGTTTTGTCATGTTATTTTTAAAATTCACCACTGAAAATAGCTTTAAACAACGCTGGAAGAAAACATCTCAGATGAACACTTTGCTATTTTTGTTCCTGAATGAATCATTAGTTAAAGAACCAATTACTGAATGATGAATCACCCTTTTTGAACAAATCATTTAAACAAGAGATTCAAAGAATCAAACTTGAACACAGTGACCTGCTGGCACATACTGTTGGTTTTAGTATAATATTTATTTATCCATGACAAGCTTAACCCAGCACAGAAAATTAATTACGATTATTATTTTTTAAAACTGGCATATAAATATTGATATATCATTTGTTTGTACTGCACACCCATAGCAATGACTGAAGCAAAGCCTAAAATTGTTTAACCCAATATAAGGCAACATAATTCACACAGAAACTGTTCACTTCTATACATACTGCAATATTAATTTGACAAATTATGACATAATAATTTTAATAACTTAAGTCATTGTAAGGGGCATTTGAAGTTTTCCAGAGACCCCTCATTCAGTTTTTCCCTAAACTACATTTGCCATTTCTGATAATAAGATTAGGATAGTTAAAGGTTTATTCCTGATATGAATGAGTAAGCCATGATTACTTCATGTCCTTTATCTTTTGGTTTCATTCTGATGTCTTTCCCTGGAATAGCAACCCACATCCAGTCTCTCTGAATGTCTGAATTACTGCCAAATACTTCAGGAAAGATTTAGCTTAAGGATTTCCTATATTTTCCAGTATTAAATCCGAGGCCAAACCTTTTTTTCTCTTGTAGTATATTAAAGATTGAAGGATTGTGGTTGTTAGTCAAGTTTGCTTTTACATTTTACTTTAAATTGATCAAATGGATCAAATGAAAAGAAATAAACAGTAATTAATTTAATGCCCTGCTACATATAAGATAGGTTATTCGTAATTTCACATAACACATACACATAACCACAATTTATTATATCATTATGAAGATAATCCTGTTTATATAAATACTATAAACGAGGAGGACTTTCCCTGGAGTAGCAACCCACATCCAGTCTGTCTGAATGCCTGAATTCCTGCCAAATACTTCAGGAAAGATTTAGCTTAAAGATTTCCTATATTTTCCAGTAATAAATCCAAGGCCAAACCTTTTTTTTTTGGTAGTATATTAAAGAATGAAGGATTGTGGTTATTAGTCAAGTTTGCATTTACATTTTATTTTAAATTGATCAAATGGATCAGCTGGAGCAGTGACAGTCTTCTGCAATATACTAATCATTTCATCTCTAAATCTTTACGAATAAATACTGTAAAATGCAAAGAAGTTGTTAGACAGTACTTAAAGAGCATGGTGTGCAAAGCTGATTTACAGAACACCATTAAAGGGGTCATAATATGTCTTTTTCTAGTTTTTATACCTGTAACGTTGATCTCTGAAGGGTTCCAAAGGTTTTTTATTTTTTTTTGGGGATGTTTTAGCTCAAAATACCACTTAAAAGATTTATATATAATACAATGCTGCAACGGCCTCTTTAGGTGAAACTACAAACATAGTCATTTTTTTCATGTGTGCCTCTTCACAGGGTCATGAAAGCCCCCCTCTTTCAGTTTAAGTCAGAATTTAAAAAAAAAAAAGCTCCATGATGGGCGTGGAGCGCTGCGAGCAGAGGGAGGTGTAGGCGTGGTCGGCAGATAAAGTGAAAAAGAGGAGAGCAAACAACTGTTATTTGGCTCAAAAAAAAAAAAAAAATAATAATCAAACACAAACCGTGAGGAGACCCATGAATTTATAGTTTACAAAGTTAAAATGCAAAGAAATAAACAGTAATTAATTTAATGCCCGGCTACATATACGATAAGTTATTCGTAATTTCATTTAACACATACATATAACCACAATTTGTTATATCATTATAAAGATAATTGTGTTTATATAAATACTATAAATGAGGAGGACTTCTCTCCTCCTGAATCCCTGGGTCTGAATGCAGACACAGTAGACTGCAGTGCAGCAGGTCTCTTGGCCTGTCTATTTCAACCATTAACCTCACCGGTAATCTGGAGGATTTTAAACATGAGCGAAAACAGCAGCATGGATATAGGTGATGTGTCTGAATGGTAACGAACTCAACTGATAAAAGACAACGTCCGCCATTCTCCAACTCTCATACAGCTCTCCCGACAAAAAATGTTTGCTGCAAACCAACAGCTTTGCTGTATCAGCCCTGACAGCATCACGGGAAAAACCATGAAACAAACCCTGTGGATCATGGAAACAAACACATACGACCCTTGATAAACGGCTAAATACTGCGTCTGATACAGGTCTGTCATTGGAATGCACATGCTGTCATGAATAATTGAGAAGCAGGGTCTTCTCATAGGATATGAAACCGACGCGTCAACACTTGACTAGCAGATGAGCACTACATCACCGACTTTGATCTCACCCCAATAATGATTATAAACCCAGAAGATGAAATTAGCTGACAAAAGCTCAAAACTATCCAGCTTTATCCACAATTAAAAGCTAACAGGTGCTAATGTTGTCTTAAATGATGCACAAAATCTCAACAAAAAAAAACAGTACTTCAGGGTTTCTTAAATCTCTAAATGCAAATGAGCTGCTGTTCCACACCCCCTTTACAAAAGAGGGTGGAGCCTTTACAACTCTTGCTTCAGTTACTCTGGCCAATACAAAAATTCGCACTAGTATTATGAAGCCCAGTTAGTTTAATCTTCTTAAGGGCTGTGTACAAATCGCATCCTTAGTCTTCCTCACGTGACTTGCGCACGCAAATAGGGAGCGCTCAAGCTTTTCTAGGTGAAAACATTCCAACTATAAGTTTCAACATAAAAAAATCTCAACTTTTCAGAAAGCTGCAAGCACCCCACGCACACACAAAAGCTCAATATGCTGCCTTCTTTTCCAGGAGCGTCAATGCATATTCCAACATGACAATGCAAAACCACATTCTGCACACACTACAAAGTGCTGGCTGCCGAGGAAGAGAATACAGATACTTGACTGGCCTGCCTGCAATCCTGACCTGTCTCCAATAGAGAATGCGTCTTGCATTTTGAAGCATAAAATGCGACAACGAAGACCCCGTATTATTGCCAATTTTATTACACCTGAAACCCTTCAATACTTGCTGTTTTCAGTCCCTAAACGCCTTTGTAATGTTGCTATACCTTTTCACAACATTTAAGAGTGGTAAACGCTTTACTGCTCCAACTTTTTTTTAAATGTGTTGCAAGAAGCAACATTTAAATACCTGTTTATTTCGAAAAAAACAATACAAATCATGAGGAACACATCAAATAATGTGCTGTTGTGTTGTCTGCAATGAAATGCAAGTCAAAGTAAACTTTAAAACAAATCACATCTTTCTTTTTTTGCTTTTTTCATACTGTCCCAACTTTCTGGGGTTGTATTATGTTGGCTGTTTGTGTAGAAGTAATGAGAATAGCTCTCTTTAGTAACTTTCTAACTTCATGACAGAACATCAATGCACTAAAGGAAAATTAAACTGTAATAAGCGTAATATGACTTAATGATCCTTTAGGATGTAAAAGAGGAGCGTTGTGTCTTGTTAGAAACATATTTGATCAGTTCCAGACAACTTTAGGGTCGATTCATGATGGAGATTTTACTATAGAACATGTTGCTTGCGATCCCGGCTTTCTCATTTGATTTGAAAGACCGTAAACTCATACCATGAGCTCGCAGAAGAGCCTCAGCGGTGAAGAGAGGAGCCTGCAGCATGTCCGCCGTCTCCACGATCAACATATCTTTTAAGCGTCGCAGGTCTTGCAGCTTCAGTCCCTCATACGGCTGGAAAAAGAAAGAGGGAGGAGATGAATGAAAGATAATTGAGAGATAAGGATAAAGACGAAAAGTGTGAAGAGGGAGCAAATAGAGTGATAGAACAAGAAGTAATACAGCTTTTACACTTAAACTTCAATACTGCTCTGGGTGTATGCATCAGAAAAAGGCAACAATTCTGCTGGCGGCAGGATTTATCCTCTTTCCACTGTGACAGTGCAGCAGCCAGTTGAGATTTATCTTGTGCTCAATTTTCTCTGAAATAAGGGTGAACAAACATGCCTGTGCACAATAAATGTAAGATGAATTGAACTGAATTGAATATTAATAGTTGATAAGGAAAAAGCTGGCTTTAGGTTTTGGGTTAGAATGCAGAATAAGATCATAGTTTATAACTACTAAAGAACAGTTAATATCTAATGAATAGTTAATACACAATCTACATTGTAAAAGCGCTATACAAATGAAGCTGAATTGACCTGAATTGAATTGAATCTTAATACATTTACATTTACATTTAGTCATTTAGCAGACGCTTTTATCCAAAGCGACTTACAAATGAGGACAAGGAAGCAATTTACACAACCAAGAGCAACAATGAATAAGTGCTATAAGCAAGTTTCAGGTCTGTAAAGTCGAAGAAGGGAAGTATTAGTAGTATTAGTAATTTTTTTTTTTTTTTTTTTTTTTTGTACAGTTAGTGTGATATTCAGTGAGGCGATTACAGATTAGGAAGTGTAGTGGAGACGAAATAGTTGAGTTTTTAGTCGTTTCTTGAAAGTAGCGAGTGACTCTGCTGTTCTGATGCAGTTAGGGAGTTCATTCCACCAACTGGGCAGATTGAGCGTGAGCGTTCGCGAAAGTGATTTCTTCCCCCTTTGGGATGGAACCACGAGGCGACGTTCATTCACAGAACGCAAGTTTCTGGAGGGTACATAGATCTGCAGAAGCGAGAGCAGATAAGAAGGAGCAAGGCCAGAAGTCACTTTGTAGGCAAACATCAGAGCTTTGAATTTGATGCGAGCAGCAACTGGCAGCCAGTGCAAACGGACTAGCAGCGGAGTGACATGTGCTCGTTTAGGTTCATTGAAGACCACTCGTGCTGCTGCGTTCTGGAGCAGTTGAAGAGGCTTGATAGAGTTAGCTGGAAGCCCAGCTAGTAGAGAGTTGCAGTAATCCAGTTTGGAGAGAACAAGAGCTTGAACAAGGAGTTGAGCTGCATGTTCAGATAAGAAGGGTCGGATCTTTCTGATGTTATAGAGTGTGAATCTGCACGATCGAGCAGTTCTAGAGATGTGGTCAGAGAAGTATAATAGGCAGGTAATAAGCCAGTAGTTAATAGCATGAATTGTGACCTACACTAAAGTGTTATTAAAATATATTAGCTATAAATACACTGGGTATCTACACTCAAAAAGTCATTTACCTCTCTGCGGTCAAGAGCAGCGTACTCCGCTTCGATCTCCTGAGCTCCTGGAACCTGAGAGAAAACCATCTGCGACTCCAGACTGAGCGCCAGATCCTTATGATGCTGCTTCTCGGCGCAGTCACACGGCGTCTCCCTGTCCTCGTTCTCCACAAACAAATCTGCAGCGTTCTTCACCAACAACTGCAAAAACACAATCGAAATTCTTAGCAGGCGTTATGATTATTAATCTTGGTTTTGGTACACTAACAATAGTTAAACCTGTAAAACTGTGGTTGTACAAATGGTAATCAATCTGCCAGAAAACATGGTGACTATGAGGGATACACCAACAGAAAAAATTGGACTAAAAAGAATTTAATTTAGAAAACCCAAATGTAAACCAAAACATTTTGTAAATTAATTTTACATAATTTTTGTATTAATAATATGCATTTTAAATCTAATATTACACTATTAACTAATGAATATTAAGTACTATTATATTAATAAAATATAATTTCCAGTAAACAATCTTATTTTTTGATTGAATGTAAAATTAGAAAATAGAGCTGCACAATGTATTGTTTCAGCATCGATATTGCAATGTGTGCATTCGCAATAGTCACATCGCAAGATTTACAATGTATAGTCAGGATTATAGTTGACCAGCAGCCACATGTGATTTATGGTTATATTTTGCACTGACTCCGCATTGTTACCAAACATTTTAGCATTTGCATGTTTTTTTAAGGCCCTTTTTAAGCCAGTTCAAGCATTGGGGCGTTATGAATTAAAATGTTCGTAACTAGGTATGTCCAGATCCAATCACGTGATCGGTAATCAGGCCCGATATTGCGGTTTCAGACTCAATCAGTTGTTACCTCTTAATCAAGACTTAAATATATATAAGCTTTTATATTAGTTTACATTGGTTACATGGCGGACATTGCGCTCTCTCGCTCTTGTTAACATGCTTAAATACCTGTGCTATATGACAATATACAAGCTGTTTAAGTCCTCGTGTATGAGGTTTGGGACTCTGCTGAAATCTGTTCTGAAATGAAAGTGTCTGATTTGACGCCATTCGCTATGGTTTTTAATGACACATGACTCGCATTGACAGGTGAAAATCCGATCTATCTGCTTACACTGCAGACACGAGAACACAGATTTGATTCATATCGGATAAAACGTGCATGGGCCATATCCCATCTGTGCCACATGGGAGAAAAAAAAACACATCGGAATTGAGTCACTTGAACAGTGCAGTGTCAATTTGGCCTAAATTTGCAATAATGTGCTGTTATACTACATAAAACTCCATATAAAAGTCTTTTTGCACAGATCTATCTTAAGGGTTAATGCTGCCAACTGATGATCAACAGTAAAAATGACACCTTTTACCTCCAACCAACGATCAAAAATGTTACTGCAGTGGAAGTCGATGGGGCAAAAACAGCCCCAAACATATCAAAAGGGTAGTCAATTTGAGTGTATCTTCCCCAAACATGTGTCAAATAATCCAAAAATCATTCCATTTGCTGAAACACAGAGAAACTAGTTGCCAAAAACTACTCAAAATCACCCCAGAGTGCACAAAAACATCCCCAACAGCGCACAAGGGTTAAACAAAGCAATAATCTGATTACCTCGACGCAGTTCTTCATGCCGGCAGCCGCCGCGTAGTGCAGGCAGGTGCTCTTTTTGTTGTCGGTGGCGTTGACGTTGGCTCTCTCGTACTCTCCCTGGTCCAGCTTGGCTCCGGTCCACTGCAGGATCATCTGGAGACACTCAGCCCGCTTCTGCTGGTCCTCCTGGGGCCGGCTGAAGCGCGGCTGCAGCGCTCCTTCACCCAGCAGGATCTGCGGCCCCATGCAGAGCAGGTGCAGCGCAGTCTCATTGTGGACATTGCACTTGTTGGGGTTTCCATCTTTGCAGAACAGGAAAGACCTGCAGGAGAGGAGCACAAGGGATGGACTGGAATTAGGTACAATTTACATTTCAGCCTTTATAGGGCATATATATGAAATACCCATGTGTGCGCACACTGAAGATTTTTTAGCCCATTACTGAGTCTGTTTATTTACTTGTGGAAAGAATGTTATTATTCAGTTTATATAATATTTCAATAATATTATTGAACAACATGCAAATGTTTGTATAATTTATTTACGATACAGTTGGTAAAGTAATATATCTGTCTGTCTGTCTGTCTATTTATCTATCCATGTGTCTGTCTATCCGCCTCTCTATCTATCAATCCATCCATCTGTCTGTCTATCTATCCATACGTCTCTCTATCTATCAGTCTGTCTGTCTGCCTATCCGCCTGTCTGTCTATCTATCCGTCTGTCTGTCTCTGTCAATCTATCTATCCATCTGTCTATCTATACTTCCATCTGTCTGTCTATCTATCCATCTGTCTGTCTCACTATCTGTCTGTCTGACTCTCTGTCTGTCTGTCTATTTATCTATCTTTCTGTCTGTCCATCTGTCTATCCATCCGCATGTCTGTCTATCCACCCGTCTCTTTATCTTTCTGTCCGTCCCTGTATCTATCAGTCTGTCTGTCTGTCTATTCGCCTGTCTGTCGATCTATCCGTCTGTCTGTTTATCCATCCATCTGTCTGCTTGTCAATCTATCAATCAATCTGTCTATCGATCTATACTTCCATCTGTCTGTCTATCCGTCTGTCTGTTTATCTATTTATCTATCTGTCTGTCCATCTGTCTATCCGCCTGTCTCTCTATCTATCCATGTCTGTCAACCCATCTGTTTGTCTATCTGTTTATCTATCCGTCTGTCTATCTATCCGTGTCTGTCTATCCATGTTTGTATATTTATCTGTCTGTCAATCTGTCTATCCGCCTGTCTCTCTATCTATCTGTCTGTCTGTCACCCTATCTATCGATCTGTTGGTCATTCTATCTATCCATCTATCCGACAGTCTGTCTATCTATCTGTATCTATTTATCTATATCTATCTATCTATCCGTCTATCTATCCGTGTCTGTCTATCCACCCATTCGTCCTTCTATCTATTTATTTATCTATCTGCATGTCTGCCTATCTATCTATCTATCTATCTATCTATCTATCTATCTATCTATCTATCTATCTATCTATCTATCTATCTATCTATCTATCTATCTATCTATCTATCTATCTATCCATTATCTATGGATAATGTTTATCCATAGATATGTTTATCTGTTTATCAATCTGTCCATTTGTCCATGTCTATCCATTGATCTGTCTGTCCGTCTATCCGACTGTGTCCATCTATCTATCCATCTGTCTGTCTGTCCATCTATCAGTCTATGCATCTGTCTGTCTGTCTGTCTATCTATATATTCATCTATCTATTCATTCGTCTATCTATCAATCTATCTGCCTGTCACTCTGTCTATCTGTCTAAAAAATTCCCGGACTTTCAATGTCTGAAACGGACCTTTGAAAATTCCATAATATTCTGGAAATATTCAGCGTGGACCCTGAAAAGAGAATATAACCAGTTTCTCAATGCAGCACAAGCCATACCAGGAAGACTAATATCATTTTCAGTCGATTAATTGCAGGAGGTACAAAAAACTAATTGATATAAAGTATAAAATGTGTCCTAAGAAGTACTTTAAGGAAAATTCAGAGCCATGTAAGCTTTAAGAATGAACTCGCTGATCGCATTCAACAGGCTTTAATGGCTTTCAGTGGAAATGACTCAGCGTGCTGTTCTGGGAAGTCTGTGATGTGAATCTGGCACTGGGAGTTTATAAGTTGATGCAACAGAAAACAACTCCCTGCATCCTTGCTCTCCAGCTGCACCCAGGGGGCCTGAATGACTGGTTGAACTACCAAGAAATTCACAAGGAGGACACCTGCTAAATGGAGCAACCGTTGGATCCAGTGACAATAAGGCACATGCACATTAATGACATAACCGCTTTATAAAATGCAAATTAAACCTCAGCTCATAATAACGTCTAGACATGCAGGTAACAGACAGCTTGGGTTTTTGTTTTGCTGTATGCTGGCTAAGTAAAGCGTGATCATGACAAATACAAGACCACACAAAAGGCATTTGTGTGTTTGGCTGAAAGCCAGAGCATGCCATGAGCTTCACACATCTGGCCTAAAAAAAATTCAGGGTGTAGTCTGGACTGGAAGGCAGATTTTCCAGGAATCAGTAGCAAAAAAAGTGAGTAAGAATTCCTGTTAGAAAACAGCAAAGCGTGGTATTAGCATTTAAATGTAGAACCACTTTAAAATATATAAGAACTAGGTTGGGTTTAGTTTTTGTTACTAAACAAAGATATAATAAAGACAGACAGTAGTCAAGAATGCAGAATAGTATATGTATAGCCAGAGCTGGGGTAACGCATTACGGCTGGTTTATACTTCTGCGTGATTGCGGTGACCAACAATGCCTGTCTTGAGCGTGAGCCGTGCATTTATACTTCTGCGTGCTGTTTGTGTTGCTCTGCAATAACACTTCCAAACGCTAGCTGGCAGCAGGTTTTTCAACACAATCTCTCGGCAATTCGTAACTTTTTGATTTAGTGGGTTTAGTACGATTTGCTCATCACCCAATGATGGTTGGGGTTAGGGGTGTGGTTAGGTGCCACGCCTCCTTGTTAAAATCATACATTTTCGTATGACTGAACTGAATGAATTAGCCACTAAACTGACAAAACATAAAATACTTATGTTTCCTTGAAAGATCAGGCTGGGTTTTTATGTTCCTCTATGTACGTTTTTTTATAGCGTTTTCTGAACGCTAATGTACAAGTAGCTAATACTCGCTTATTGATAGGCGCGAACTGGCGGATATGCAGCAAATTTAATCATAAGGGTAAATGCAAAGCAAAAGTTTCCACCTGGAGCTCGTTCAAGGGACTCGACACATGTAAACACTCGCCCAATGGCACTTGCGGCTCTCAGCAATGCCCACACTCATCACCGCTACGTTTTTAAAAATTTAACTCCAGCTACTTTTTAGATTAATCTGATTTATAAAAATAATTCACTGAATTAAAATTAGTGTAATCACGTTGAATCGCACTCGATGAGAAAATGACCTGCCCACAGGAACCGTCAGAAACCAAGATGGCAGAGCCTTACATTTCTTTTACACACACACACACACTAATATATATATATATATATATATATAAGTTCAGAACAGAACAAAAACAAACAAAAAAAACATTTTCAAATGAACGTAGAAACAAAAAGACACAATAAAAGTCTCAAATCTAATCCGAATACAATCTTATTTACATTCATATTTATAGTTGAAAATGTTTCTATATAAAATTTCGTTAAGGGTTACATATCAAAGATCAACAGGCTCCAGATATATATATATATGAGCCTTACATTTCTGTGATGGAAGTATTCTCATTATTTTGAACACATGAAAGAAAAGAGGATTGTCACAATAGACAGTGATTTTACTGAACTAATAAGACAAAAATACAAAAAGTACCAAATGGATTGCTCTCAACTTTCATTAATCTGTTTATAGGGCATGCATAACGTCAGTTAGTTCTCAGAAGGAAACATCATTAAAAAAAAAGAAAGAAAGAAAGAAAAATACCCTGCAAGTTCTGAAAGAGATCAAACCTCAGGCAGGTATGAAAAAGTAACTCAGAACTAACTCAAAAGTAATATAACGCATTACTTTTAATAAAAAAGTAACCAAGTAGCACAACTAGTTACTTCATTGAGGAGTAAAGCAATATTGTAATGCATTACTTTCAAAAGTAACTTTCCCTAACACTGTGTTTAATCTAAGTTAGTGCTAGATTCCAGCACAAATGCCGGACTGGATTGACACTGTAACAATTATGTTGCGTATTGTGGAGAAAATTACATTCTAAGTGAATTAACAAATAAATACATGCAATTGAAGTCTGATAGTTGATAAATATACATTATTAGCCCTCCTTTGAATTTTTGCTGTCTTTAAATATTTTCCAAATTGTTTAACAGAGCAAGGAAATTTTCTTATTTGAAAATCTTAATTTGTTTTATTTCGCCTAGAATAAAAGCAGTTGAAATTTTTTTAAAACTCATTTTAAGGTCAAAAGTATTAGCCCCTTTAGGCTATATTTTATTTCGATAGTCTACAGAACAACCATCATTACACAATAACTTGCCTAATTACCCTAACCTGCCTAGTTATACTAATTAGTTAAGCCTTTAAATGTCACTTTAGGCTGAATAGAAGTGTCTTGAAAAATATCTAGTCAAATATTATTTACTGTCATCATGGCAAAGATAAAATAAATCAGTTATTAGGGATGAGTTATTAAAACTATTATGATTAGAAATGTGTTGACAAAAATCTTCTCTCCTTTAAACAAAGATTGGGAAAAAAAAACAGGGGGGCGAATAATTCTGACTTTAGCTGTATGTATATATATATATATAACATTCAGATATTCTTAATTGATGAAATGCCTTCATAGCCTTTTATTTTCTTTCTGAAGCTAGAAATGTCACCTGTGGTGACAACTTGATTATATTCATGACCCTGGACCTCAAAATCAGTCTTAAGTTGTGCAGGAATAGCCAACAACAAATGATATGGGTCAAAATTAGGTTATTTTTATGCCAAAAATCATTAGAAGTGAAATTCATGAAGACATTGAGCAAATTGTTTGGTGTAAATAAATATATTAACTTATTTTTTCATTATTAATATGCTGAATAAGAAATGCTGTAAATGTATTGTTCACTATTAGTTTATGGTAGTAAATACAATACATTAACTAACAAGCATTAACTAGGAGAACCTTATTGTAAAACATGACCAAGTGATCAATGAAAACCATGGAACGATATAAAGTGATAGAATGAAAACAATAACCATAATAAAATAACAGACAATAACAGAACGACAAACAGACAGATGTGTGACCCAAACAGCTGTAAAATAAAGAGAGGAAAGTGGAAAAATAATAATAATGGTGGAGGGACAGAGAGTCTCAGTAAGCAGATGTTCAGCTGTAATCACCATTATTTTCTCAGAGGGGAACATTAGCATTAAATCAGAGTTGGCTTTTGTTGCTCCGATTGATCCTGACTCAAATACCAAGCACTGAAATTCAATAAACCATGCAAAAATAACCTTGCATCGCACAAAAACACTATAGAAGCTTCCCATTCCAAGCATATTTGCCTCAGGTCCTGTCTTCAACACTGAAGGTTAGTGTTTTTGTTCTGCCTGAAGCAACAACCATCTATAAACCCTGCTGTGTTGTTAACGGACAGACTGTTGGAGTGTTCCCATGACATGAACAAGTCTTATCTTAACCCTCTTTGTTAGACTACACATTGGTGATAATAAATATGTTTGTATGTTTGCAACACATTGTTAGCATTACATTTTTAGGGATAAGTTGAACCTTTCTCTTAATTCTCTTCTGCCAACTCAAGCTGCATTTATTTGACCAAAATAGGCAAACAAGGAAGCAAAAACGGCAATATTGTGAATGATATATATTAATTTAAAAGAACTACTTTATTTTTTTATATACTTTAAATTTCCTGTTTTTAAATGCTATTATATTTGAAATCTGAATTCTTAGCAGCATTACTTCAATTAACACGATAATTAAGAAATTATTCTATTACGCTGATTTATGCTGTAGCATTTCTAATTTTATTCAATAAACTCGTTTATTCATTCATTTTTTTTCTTTTAAAATGAAAAGATGCAAGTACATTTGTGTTGCATAACACTGTCATGGCATTTTTGTCGTCATCTCAATAAAAAAAACATTGTTTAACCATTGTGTGCTGTTGGGGATGTTTTCACCAACCACTCTGGGGTGATTGTGAGTCCTAATTTGGCCACTAGTTTCTCTGCGTTTCAGCAAATGGGAAGATTTTTGGAGACATCCTATTTTGACACATATTTTGGGAATATGCTTTGACACTTTTTTAAAATTCAACAATACACTCAAACTGACCACCCTTTCATTATATCGGTGGCTGTTTTTGCCCCATTGACTTCCATTATAATGACATTTTTTGGTTGCAAAGCCATGACATAACATCATCAAGCATTCTTGAGTGTTGCTGGTTGTCCCATGGGAAAAGCTAACATTTTCAAGTTTTACTGTTGATCATCAGTAAAAATAGCTCAGTTTCTGTCTTCTATATGAAGTATAGTGTGTGTGTGTGCGTGTCTGTGAGAGAGAGAAACCTTTATGCACTTGTCTTGATATGTCTGAGAAAATCTAAATAAGCAGCTCAGCTCTCAGCATAGTAAACACAGTGAGTGTAAAGCAGGTCGCACACCAGTGTGAAAGCGAACCGCTCCAAGAGCAAAGAGCAACAATGTAACATTTGTAATCTCTGTTTCGGAACAACTGAATCGATTCACAGGCATTTTAGAATTCTACACATAGGTTTCTATCAGGACACACACACCGGCACCGCAAATCGGCGGCGCCCAGCCACGGCTCAGGACGCAGTTCATTTTTCAGCCGCGCCACAGAGCGCCATCTGATTAGTTTCATTTTAAAGATCATTCGAAATTCGTCTGGTGTGGGATACTTTAAACCAGGGGTCACCAATCCTGGTCCTGGAGGGCCGGTGTCCCTGCAGGGTTTAGCTCCATCTTGCCTCAACACATCTGCCTAGATGTTTCAAGTATAACTAGTTAGACCTTGATTAGCTTGTTCAGGTGTGTTTGATTAGGGTTGGAGCTAAAATCTGCTAGACACCGGCCCTCCAGGAACAAGTTTGGTGACCACTGCTTTAAACTGTCATGTGCGTGCCGTGTCGCGGTGCCGAGCGACGCTTCTGGTGTGCGACCTGCTTAAGGGCGCTTTCACACCTACACTTTTGTTTCGGAACGTGTCTCGTTTGCCCAGTTAGCGCGGTTCGTTTGGCATATGTGTACAAGGCAATCGCGCTCTGTTCCGCGGCAAAGTAATCGCTCCGAGATCGCTTGAATGAGGTGGTCTCGGCTCGATTGAAACGAACCCTGGAGCGGTTCGATTGCAGTGAGAAAGTGATCCGATCCAAGCGCGGTTATATCACAGTGTTTTATGGATATGTAATAGACATACAGCTATATGAAGAGAGAATTATGAGCATGGCGGGAAGTTTCGCGAGTCTCCGGATGCCCTCAAACGAGTGATGATCTCCCGGTAATCTCGCGTCTCCCTCCCGGTCCTCAAATAGGCATCGTCGCGCACCCTTCTCACCCCTCCCCACCGCATCTCTCCTCAGACACGTCGCGCGCGCAGCCTGTCAATCACCATCAAACCACCACCTCTCCTGACAGCTGAGCGGGACGCTGCAAAATAAACCCTGACACTCTGACCAATGTGAGGAGAGTTTACTCACACGTGACTTGTTTTAGCTCTTTTGGTCCGATTAGAAACTTTGCAATGTGAAAGTGAACCGCTCCAAGAGCAAAGAGCAACAATGTAACATTTGTAATCTCTGTTTCACAACAACTGAATCGATTCACAGGTGTGAAAGCACCCTAAGTGTACATACACTATAATTTGCTATTTTACTCCATAGAACTCCATATAAAAGTCAGAAACATTTTTGCACAGGCCTATCTAAAGGGTTAATGCTGCCAACTAATGATAACATTAAACCTCTTCCCAACAAGGAAAACCACCAACAATCTAAAATGCTAGATGTCATTTATGTGCAATATAAAAATGCTGTTACATTGGAAGTCGATAGGGTAAAAGCAGCCCCAAACATAGCAAAAGTGTAGTCAATTTGAACAGTACACAAGAGCTAAAAAATAAACTGATGTATTGAGGTGGTGCTTGTGGCCGGTACCTGATAAGGCGGGTCATGGCGTGGCGTGAGGCATAATGCAGGGGTGTGTTGTGTTGATAGGGCTCCCCATAAGAGGCGTTGGGCTCCAGAGCCTCTTTAAATTGAGGGTTGCTCTCATAGAGTTGGCAGGCCAGGCCTTCATCTCCATTGATAAGTGCTTTACGGAACTTGGTGGCTGTATTCCCCATGGCAGGAGCCGCTGAGCCCACATTCAGTGTTCAACACTCAGCCAGCGTGACTGCGGACGGCCTGCGTACCTGCAAACACATGCAATTAGATTTGTTTATTTTATACATTGGTCATTTATTTTAATTTGACCAATCAGATGGGGCATCTGAAAGTCAGATGATGTATTGTCTGGCTTGATGTTGTATATTATGCTAAAGAAACCTGGTAATAAACTACCAGTACATTTCTGTTATTTTTACAGATTTATTTCTTTATATATAATTTCTTATTTATTATATTATTTCAAACTTCTGAAATGTCAATAAAAAGTCTCTTTGTTAAACTGTAGAGCTGAATTTTCAACATCAAAAGTCGACAGAGCAGAGATACTTCCATAATTATAAGTCAGAGTCTATGAACAGTTATGAATCTGACTGTAATTCGCATTCACAGGCATCAAGTCAAAAGATGAGGTTATTAAATTTACACCATTTTAATTGTATATATAGTAAATTAGAGCATTATACATAGTATATTATAGTATATTACAGACTATAGACCAGGGGTGGGCAAACTCGGTCCTGGAGGGCCAGTGTCCTGAACAGTTTAGCTCCAACACTAATCAAACACACCTGAACAAGCTAATCAGTGTCTTTAAGATCACTAGAAATCAATAAGCAGGTGTGTTTGATTAGAGTTGGAGCTAAACTGTGCAGGACACCGGCCCTGCAGGAGTTTGCCTACCCCTGCCATAGACTATTACCAATTATTGTAATGTCATTTACATCTATTAGTTCTATCAGGTATATCTACACTGTAAAACCCAAAAAGATAAGGCAACTCAAACCGTTTTAGGAAACCGATTGCAACAAACCATTTAAGTTCAAAAACTAATTCTAATGAATACTGTGAACTTAATCCATTTAAGTAAATGAAGCAATTTGAGCACAGTAAAACCCGATAAATAAAGAGAACTCAAAGCAGCTGAGTACTGTTAAACTCAATAAGTTAAGGCAACTCAAAGCGTTTGAGGAAACCAATCGCAACAAACCATTGAGTTAAAAAAACTTACTCCATTTAAGTTGAAGTAATGAGGAGTTTAATTAACTCAATAACTTCAACACTGAGTTCAAAACTCCTCAAATGAGTAGAATTAACTTTCAGATCATTTTGAATTAGGGGCGACCCGGTAGCGCAGCAGGAAGTGTCGTCGGCTTAAAGCAAGAAGCTCGCTGGTTCGAGCCTTGGCTGGGTCAGTTGGCGTTTCTGTGTGGAGTTTGCATGTTCTCCTCACGTTCGCGTGGGTTTCCTCCAGGTGCTCGGGTTTCCCCCACAGCGCAAAGACATGCAGTATAGGTGAATTGGGTAAGCTAAATTTTCCGTAGTGTATGAGTATGATTGAGTGTGTATGGATGTTTCCCAGAGATGGGTTGCAGCTGGAAGGGCTTCCGCTGCGTAAAACATATGCTGGAGTAGTTGGTGGTTCATTCCACTGTGGCGACCCCAGATTAATAAAGGGACTAAGCTGAAAATAAAATGAATGAGTGAATAATTTTGAGATAACTACACTCAGTTCATTTGATAAAGTTGACAGTTGGGTTTTACAGTGTATTATATCTTTCAAACAGTTTTCTGAGCTTTAAAAAACAAAATGTAAAGCAGAAGAATTAAATTAAATGAGTGTCGCTTTCTTACAACGCCTTCTTCTCAAGTGCATAGCCTAGCAAAGACACCAGATTTAAAAGAAAAAGGACTATGTCTAGCAAATGTTTACACAGAAAAACAATGCAATACAAACATGTTCTGCATGAACAGCCCGTTATAGGCGTTCCTGTTAGGAACAGAATAAACAGTATTAAAAGGCTGCACTTCATTATAATAAAAAACTCACACAAGGCTACAGTTCCTTTGTGGAAAAAATAAACAAGCTACTACTATTCAACTCACAAAGGCCTAATGTAACAAAAATCAGCCAGCTCCACATGCATTTGCATATGACCACACTGTGCAAATAACAATCTTGCACAGGTGCCTTGATCTGATCTTATCATTACGCCTTTTTCGAAACATTTCAACAGATAAAACGACTCTCTTTCTGGAAATGAAAAAGAAAAAAAACCTGACAATAAGGTTGTATTAGTTATAAGATTAGTCAATGCACTTATTTGCATGAACAAACATTGGATAATACATTTAGATTTATTGTTATTGTTAGTTAATGTAAATAAAGTTATTCAAACAATAGTTAACTCATGCTAACTCATAGTGCATTAACAAATGCTAATCGTACAATGTCTAATGTGAAACATCCCAATGGACAATGACATCGTCCTCGTAAGCGGTGGTGAACTAACCAACCAACAACAGTATGTGAGGTTTTCGCTAAAATTAGTACAAGCGTGAAAGTGAAAGATTGAAGCAGTGTACTGACCCGCTGACTGCCTGGACCCGCTGTCTCAAGCGCATGACAGTGTGTCTGTGTGTGGTCACGTGATCTGTGTTTTCAGCAGTCTAGTGTGGACGCAGGGCTGTTCAGAAACGCTAGGTGAAACGCCAGAGTGGATGTGGATCATTTTCGTTCTAAAATGCCATTTTTAACTAAGATGTATCAGTGTGTATTTTTCACGAGCGGATTTGCAATGGGGGCAGGGCGGAGGATTGAAATGCCGGCTTTGTACAGTTATGTAGGCTTGGGCGGTAATACGGTAATATGGTACCGCGGGATCTAAAATAGCAACGTTGTCAGTTTCAATACCGTTACAGCATAATAAAATAGGAGACAAGTATTAAATATTAAATATTATTTATTTAATGCCTACAAATGCAAATGCGTGATTGTCAATACGGTAAAGTGTGGAAGAGAGAGAGAGAGGTGAGGTAAGATGGCGAGTCGCGCATCAAGTGACCTGCAGTTGGCAGTATTTCGACTGAACGAGAAGTGAGACGTGGTAAAGACGAACTAGAGGTCTGCATTCCCGCTGCTGTCCCACAGGAGCCACGGGACCCGTCCAGATTTCTTGCGGTGCAGGAATAAATTTCCAAATAAAGACAAAACAAAACTTTCCATCCAGAGCTCCTTCACGGGACTCCACACTTGTAAACAGTCGCTCCATCGGGCTCGTGCCACTCGCACGGCTCTCGGTGCTGCACAGACTCGTCAGCAATACCAATCAGACCAATCACAGAGCTTGCGCTATGCATCGGTGCAACGTGTAATTACATTTTTTGAGAGGTGCACGTCAGCGACACCGATGGCCACATCGTAGGCCCATGTGTCAACGTTTAGACTTCGCCGTAGCATACGCGTGCGCTTGACACAGAAGTATAAATCACCTTTAACAATATCGCTCTCGAGCGAGCAAGCACGTGCGCATCCGTGTGAATGCTGTTTGTGTGTGTGTGAATGAGAGAGAGCATTCCGCGCAGATCTCTGATACGAATAAACAGGTGATGCAAACCTGAGGTCGCATATACGGTATTCAGTTTCTGAATGGTTAAGGCACAAGCCAACGGTTTGGTGACGCTGTCTGAGCCTTACGTCAACTTTTTTATTTATTATTATGCCTGGTAATACCGGATACTAAGGTAAAATAGGGAGGAGGTTTGACGGTATCAAAATTTGGATACCGCCCAAGCCTACCGTAAGATAAATGAGAAGCATCTTAAAGGGGGCGGGGCATTTCAGAAACTAGAGAGCATTTGATTGGTCAGAAGATTTGATGAGAAACTGAATTATGATGTGATGTCAAAAGAATTGTTGATCCATTTAGGCGGAAGTGACTAACAACAAGCTTTTGATATTCAATACTTTTTATACCTTCTTAATGCAAATTTTTAAAAAAAATTTGTAGCACACTACATTATAGATATCCAGAAAACATCATTTTAATTTCACGGGACCTTTAACTATTTTTTTTTTGTGTTGTCACAATACTGGAATTATAATTTTAAAAACACCCACTTCCTGCTAACATTCAAGCACTGTTGAGCTTTTTCTTAAACAGCGCTGATTTGCCATTGTGTTCATGTGCTCAACAGAAATGACTGTGATTGGCTGTGAAGGTCATCAGTTTACCACACTCACCGCTGTTTACTGAGTGTAACCACAGATACAAAGACACTGGAACAATTTAAAGCTGGGAAGCAATTTACACGCACACGAATTTAAAAAAAAATCCAATATTCATTCATTCATTCGTCATTTTCTTGTCACACTACAATATAGATATCTAGAAAACATCATTTTAATTTCACGGGACCTTTAACTAATGAAAACTTAGCAAACAAATAAGCAAACAAAAAGCACAAGCATCCTAAAAAAGAAACTTTTTTTTCAAAGGGTTGCATAGCCTGAGGGATCTATAATATTTGATCTGCTCAACAATCCGGTATATCCATCCCGTCATGCTCTAATAAATCTTCTTGAGAGTGGCAGCAGGTGCACTGATCGGGCATGAGCGTGTGGGTGGGAGTCAGGCGAGTTCGACTCGCTTTTTAGGTCATTCTGTCTGCTCTGTTGTTCTTTTCCACATGGCTTCACATCTCGCTCGTGTTTAACACAGACGTCTGTGGAGTTACATCACAAAATAAAGCACATTACAGCACTCAGAAGGATCCTTATAAATGTGCCCTGTGGTCGAATGGCTCATTTTCAGGTGGGACGTCTGAGAATGCAGAACTGATGAATTAAGAGCGGCGTTTTGGCAGGCGCACAAAAAGAGGGAAATGTTTCTGTTCCACAAGCTTCCCCCCACACCAGAGCTCAATCATTAAACATACTGTGAGTCCATTAATGGAGAAACTCCATTTGCATTTATTTTACAGGCAGTGGGCCGCTCTCAAACAATGCAGGCTTTGTGTTAAAAGATGATCCTCAACTGCCGTTTTCACTTTAAACAATGTCTGAAACTCCATGCGTGTTCATTTCCATGGCAGACAGGAACAGTGTGCAGATATTTAAAGCGAAAGTAACAAACCTGTGTGAATGTTTTTGTGTTTGTATGGACGACAAAAGGAGGAAGCAGAGGGAATTAATGATCCAACAGTCTGCTCACACTTTTAGTTCAGATCTTTTAGGTGGTTTGTTTTGATAGGATCAAATTAACAAAAATTACGCCCCATTCACGCGGGGCTTCAGCGTCAAGGCTTGACTGAAGGCGCGTCTGAAGTTGGGGCTGAAGCGATCGTCATAACAGCGTAGGGCCAATGAAATTCAGTCAGCAATACTCTTATTTCACGCAGCCGCCATTTTAAAGAACCAAAGCGAGGCTGCGGTGGGAAGAAACCCGGAAGTATAGGACCAGCTCTGTAAACATTGCAGTAACATGCTGTGTACTACACACCTCCAGCTATTGCTGAGATTTCAAAATGCAGAAATGGTGTAACCATCACTTTAATATTATCCAGTAAGTTTATTTTAAACAATTAAAATCAATTTAGCACCAAACAAAATCACAATCTCAGTGATACACTTAAGTGTCCTCCTGGGCTTCAGTTTATGGCACTATAGTTAAACACCGTGAGGACGCTTCCCTGCTTCAGCCTGCGTAACCCGGTGAGTGATAAAACACTGGAGTCCTCTGTAGCACACCCTTACCGCTCTTCACCCAGTGCAAATACAGATACACGGACTGGAGCGCGAAGCAGCCGTCAAGATCAGTCGAGTCATCAAGCAGATCGCTCGGCTCGTCTGTGTTTGTGCTCAGTGTACAGCGGTGGGTGAACTGATGACCTTCTCGGCCAATCACAATCATTTCTGTTGAACACGTGAACACAATGGCAAATCAGAACTGTTTTAAGAAAGCCATCAACATTGCCTTAAATGTTAGCACAAAATTGCTGTTTTTTCTTTTAATTCAGTATCGTGACAAGCCTAATATAGTGAAAGAATCAGTTTATTAATTTGAGTTTGATAAATGGCATCTAAAACGTGTGTTTGGGAAAGAAAACGTTGGCTAACTAGTGCCATTTCCCTTAACCTAGCTGAAAATGAGCTCTGATATCCCTTTTTACATTCACCATTCATTAAGAACGGACCTCCGGGTCACCAGGAAGGCGGAGAAATGATAAATTTGTGCCACTTTCTCTTCGCTGATAAGATATACAGCCAGTTACACAACATTCCTATGTAGCTCCCAATGATACTTCCGGCTTTCTTCCCACCGCAGCCTCGCTTTTGCTTTTGAAAATGGCGGCCACGTGAAATCAGTCTATAGGCCACTGTCTGAGCTGGTGTATTTGCATACAGCAATCTGATTGGCTGACGCTTCAATCAGCGCTTGAAAAGTTGAGCTTGGCTGTTTCTCAATATGCGTTCTTCAGCGGTCTTGCGTCCTCGTGTTCTCCTGTAACGTCATCATCAGCTGCCTAAGTTCAGTTCCAATACTCAAGACCGCAAGTACGGAGGACGCGTAAAACTTCCCGGATGTGTTCTTGATATCGAGGACGCACTGATGCAGACTTGAGCACCGAACTCGCTCTGGAAGTCCCAGAAGTCATTGCGACTGGAGGTGGGAAGCGCGGCATTTTATCTACATTACTTATTAAAGTTCATAGATATTTACCTAAGGAGTTTCCCTAAATGAAACGGTGAAAGTAAACATTACCATGGACATCTTAATAAAGGAATAAACACATTAAGGGTCTTTGTTTGCTGAAATTTGTATTAAAATGTGTTTTATTTATATTGTGCAACATATATTTATAATGTTTTATGCAAAGTATATATTTTGAAAAGGGAAAAACCAATAAATCATTGTATGAATGCTGTAATGTTTAAATAATTTACCATTTAAAACTCGTGAAGGTCATGTGACCATCAGGAAGAACTCAGCATCTCAATTCTCAAAGGATGCGTTCTCTGCCCTCACGGTCTCCTGAGTTCGTTCTTCCGAGGACACCTGGCAAGACCGGTCTCCACAAGAACGCAAGTCTGTTCTCTGCGTTCTTGGAATTGAGAAACAGCCCTAGTCCCAACTTCTGCAGCGAGCAACGCCTCTGAAGTGGCACCAACGGACCCATAATGCAGTTCGGCAACGCCTGACGTCACCCATTCAAAGTGAATGAGAAGCGTTGACGCTGACGCCCCGTGTGAATGGGGCGTTACACATTTAGTTTAGATGGAGCTGGGTTTCTATTAGTGTTGTCACGATACTGGAATTAGAATTTTAAAAACGTCCATTTCCTGCTAACATTCGAGCCCTGTTGAGCTCGTTCTTAAACAGTGCTGATTTGCCATTGGCTGTTTCTCAATATGCGTTCTTCAGCGGTCTTGAGTCCTCGTGTTCTCCTGTAACGTCATCATCAGCTGCCAAAGTTCAGTTCCAATACTCAAGACCACAAGTACAGAGGACGCGTGAAACTTCCCGGATGTGATCTTGATATCGAGGACGCACCGATGCAGACTTGAGCACCGAACTCGATCTGGAAGTCCAAGAAGTCATTGCGACTGGAGGTGGGAAGTGCTGCATTTTCTTTAGATTTATTATTAAAGTTATTAAAGTTCAGACAGAGATATCACTTATTTACCTCAAGAGTTTCCCTAAATGAAACAGTGAATATAAACATTAGCATGGACATCTTAATAAAGGAATGAACACATTAAGGGTATTTGTTTGCTGAATTTTGTATTAAAATCTTAATTATTTGTATTGTGCAGCATACATTTACAATGTTTTTATGCATATTATATACATAATATATGGGGGGAAAACAATAAATCGTTGAATAAATGCTGTAATGTTTAAATAATTTTCCATTAAAAACGTGAAGGTCATGTGACCACTAGGAAGAACGCAGCATCTCATTTCTTACAGAACGTGTTCTCTCTCCTTGCGGTATCCCAAATTCGTTCTTCCGAGGAGGACACCTGGCAAGACCGGTCTCCATAAGAACGCAAGTCTGTTCTCTGCGTTCTTGGAATTGAAAAACAGCCACTGGCAAAGGTGATCCAACTTACCTCAACACACCTGTCTGGGTGTTTCAAGTCTACCTAATTATACCAGATTGGCTTGTTTAGGTGTGTTTGATTAGGGTTGGAGCTAAAATCCGCAGGACACCGGCCCTCCAGGAACAAGTTTGGTGATCCCTGGTCTATTCGTTTTCATCTCCTTATTTAATATTTAGTAAAACAAGTTTAGTCAAAACAGACTTCTCTTCAGGTATCTTTGATATGTGCACTGTTTATGTAAATGTGTAACTAAAAAACATATACAGCTGATTGAATTGTTTGTAAATCACACAACTGTGGTATGCAGGATTACTTATAACAACACTGTAATTGTGACATTAAATACTGTTTCATATTTACATTCAATGTGGTTCTTTTCTATCCTACAATATTTTCTGTTGTGTTACTAATGCTGCTTTTTTGCTCAATGTAGCTCTGTTTTCTATGGTTCTGTTTACTTTGTCATTTGCACAGCAGCGCAGTAGAGCATATAGTGTTAAGCAGGAAAAAAAACCCTGTACTGTATTTTATTGATCGAACGATTTTGAGCAGCTGTTATTTTTTGAGCAGCTGTTATTTTTTGTGCAGCTGTTTATTTGTAAAAACAGAGGAAAAACTCTGTGTTTGAATTATATTTTGCTCAAAAAATGTTTAATAACGTTTTAATAAAGGCTTTAACTCTCAAGTAAACATTTATATTAAAATACCGGATAGATATCATATACCGTTATTCCTCCTAAAAATACCGGGATATGATATTTTGCCCATATCGCCCAGCCCTACTACCTTATAGGACTTTTTGATGTCTACATATAGTGTAACACCTCATTTTGTATCTCCAACAGCTGAACCCATATGTATGGCAATTCATCCCAGCTAAAACAAATCCAGCGTAAACCAGCCTAGGATGGTTGGCTGGTTTTAGCCGATCAACCAGGCTGGTTTTAGAGAGGGTTTGACCACTTCCAGGCTGGTTTCCAGCTATTTCCAGCCTAGTTTTAGCTGGTCAGACTGGGAGATGACCAGATAAAACCAGCTTGAGCAGCCTAGCCAGGCTGGGAGCGCAGCCAAAACCAGCTATGTCCAGCATAAACCAGGATGGTCAAGCTGGTTTTAGCTGGTCACTATCCAGCCTGACCAGCTAAGAACAGGCTGGAAATGGCTGCAAACCATCCTGGAAGTGGACAAACCCCATATAAAGCCAGCCTGGTCGACCAGCTAAAACCAGCCAACCAGTCTAGGCTGGTTTAAGCTGGATTTTTCAGCAGGGATATTATATTTACCTGCAAAGTGTGTGTATATTCTGAGACAATATTGTTTGTTTGTTTTTCTGTTGTACTTAAAAAAAAAAACTTGAAATAAAAGTATTATTAAAAAGACTCAAAATCAGCCCAGAGTGGATGAAAACATCCTCAACAAGACATAAGGGATTAATAAACCACGTAGAATAGTCGTTAAAAGTGTACAAGTCATTACACAAAGGCTCTGAATCTGTGCTTGTAGCTTTTCAAGAACATTCCCAGTGTTGACAGCTGATCAGCATCATCAGTTCACCAATACACCGGTCTCTGGCTGACAGATCGCTGCTTCAGAGCCAACAAAACACATCTTTGATGAAGCACAGCTGTAATTGACACACTTATAACCCGATTTCCACACTCTGGCGTGTTGACATCAGCGATTAACACACAAAAACAATCGCACACACGTACCTCATGACGTTTCCATGAAGCGTTGACACACAAACGACCACGGCGAGCGGCGTGTCAGAAGCTCATATCGCCATTGTTATCGGGCAGCAGACCTTTGACCATGTCAGAAATGATATAAAAATAAATGATAAACAACTGTAAAATCATTTGGGGTGGTGCTCGTGGCTGTGTTTGCTGGTCATGCTCTCATTTCATAGGACAATGATCTGCGTCTTCTTCGCGGTGGTAACGGTTGATGAAGGGCTGAATGTAGGACCGGCTGATCGCCACCTGCCGGCGAGGAGAATAAAGGTGAGCTCCAGTGTGCTCACTCAAAGAAATTAATTTCATACTTATTATTTTTTAAACGTAAATAATAGCAGTATTTATAATGTTTATAAAGAGTTTTATGGCGGTACAAATATGAAATAAATTCATCAGACTATTCACCTATGTGAGTTAATAAATAAATACGTTAACTTGTACTGGATCTAATAAATCTAGTATTATTGTTTCACATCACAATCTGGGTTTGCATTTATGTCACAATCTGCAAACAATGTTCATTTGTATGAAATTATTCTCGAACAAAAGACAAAAATGTGGCAGAAATGTGTTTTGCTAACATGATTAGCGCATTAGCACCATCTAAAGGAACAACATGAGAAATTGACGTTTTTTTGGACAGTTGTAAATGTTGAAGTACTAATAAAAGGATTGCAATTACATATGAAATATTATTAAATGCAATTAAATGCAATATAAAAATAAATTAATTTAATATTACATATTTTGAAATGCCTTACTGAAAAATCCAGCTTAAACCAGCCTATGCTGGTTGGCTGGTCGACCAGGCTGGTTTTAGAGGGGTTTTGGCCTTTTCCAGGCTGGTTTTCAGCCATTTCCAGCCTGGTCTTAGCTGGTCAGGCTGGAAGCTGACCAGTTAAAACCAGCTTGACCAGCCTAGCCAGGCTGGGAGCCCAGCCAAAACCAGCTATGTCCAGCTTAAACCAGAAATGGCCAAAACCCCTCTAAAGCCAGCCTGGTCGACCAGCTAAAACCAGCCAACCAGCCTAGGCTGGGTTATGCTGGATTTTTCTGCAGGGGGGCCTTTTAGCAAGACGGTCGCCGGTTCGAGTCCCGGTTGGGTCAGTTAGCATTTCTGTGTGAAGTTTGTATTTTCTCCCTGTGTTGGTGTGGGTTTCCTCCAGGTGAACACATGTGCTTTAGGTGAATTGGATAAACTAAATTGGTCATAAGGTATGAGTGTGTTTGTGTGTGTGAATGTGAGTCTGTGTTTCCCAGTACTGGGTTGCAGTTGGAAGGGCATCCACTGTGTAAAACATAGGCTGGATAAGTTGGTGGTTCATTCTGCTGTGGCAACTCCAGATTAATAAAAGGACTAAGCCAAAAAAAAAAAAAAATGAACGATTGATTTATTATCTGTCTTGATTTATCTTTGCATACTTATTAAAGACCTCTGGAAATAGGGAGGGGTGGGAGATGGGAAGTATGGTGCTAAGAAGGGGGTAGAAAAGTTTAGGTTAAGAATTAAGATTAAGAGTTAAGGATTTATACAGTTTTCCTGTTGTTGACAGGACTTCTATCTTTCATATACATTTTTAGGTTTTTATTCATTCATTCATTCATTTTCTTGTCGGCTTAGTCCCTTTTTAATCTGGGGTCGCCACAGCGGAATGAACCGCCAACTTATCCAGCAAGTTTTTTTTACGCAGCGGATGCCCTTTCAGCTACAACCCATCTCTGGGAAACATCCACACATACACACACACTACGGACAATTCAGCCTACCCAATTCACCTGTACCACATGTCTTTGGACTGTAAGGGAAACCGGAGCACCCAGAGGAAACCCACGCGAACGCAGGGAGAACGTGCAAACTCCACACAGAAACGCCAACTGAGCCGAGGATCGATCCAGCGACAGGTTTTTATATTATTTGGAAAAAAATACAATAAAAAATAATGACAAAAAAATCCCATGGCACTTCTCATAATGAGTAAAGGTGTAACCCCAATGTCCAGGCCAAAGTCCCTCAATCGGCCTCAACCATCATGGCCTCCCAGTCATCCCCATCCACTGAATTGGCTCAATCACTGTCCCTCCACTCCACCAATAGCTGTGACGACCCCAGTTTGGATGTGGCAGATCCTGATTGGGTGCCATTGTTGCTCCCCAATCAGTTCAAAGCATATAAAAGCGAGTGTGTGCTAGCTTCTGGAGGACGGTGTGGCTACTTGGCCGTCCCCACGTCAAGACCATCTCTTTATGTTTCGGCAACCTTACGGTTTTGTTTGGCATTATTTATATGTATAGTTAAAGTTAGTTATTTTCTTTATTATCCCCTAGACATTTGTTTGTTTCTTGATTTGTTGTTCTATTAGTTTTGTATAATAAATAAGTTGCATATATAATCTTTTTGTTGTCTGAGCTCTTTAATGTTGCGACTCGAACGAGGGGATCGTAACAGACCACACTGGCGCCGTTGTCCTGTGGCTTGCGTCACATCATCCTAGTGGATTCCACACACTGGTGGTGGTGTGAGTGGACCCCCTCTCATGATTGTGAAGCGCTTTGGGTGTATGGCCATACACAATAAATGCACTATATACATAGGCACATTACATTTCAAGAGTTCACACTTAGCTGATGATTGATTATAAAGCTTGTTCGGCATGCAGTCCCGGGAGATAGCCCTGAGCTCAAGATCCTCAAGCCCAGGGCTCCCTCCCGCTTGTAAGGCAAGAGCGGAGTTTGAGCTCAGGTAAACCCCCTGCTGTAGTAGCTAATGAACAGATAGGGGTTGCTCTTAACAGATAACTACTTACTAGGAGCATGTCTATGGTGCTGATTTGGATTAGTCAATTAAATTAAGCTGGTTGTTTTTGGACAGTGGGAGGAAATCGGGGAACCCCACGTGAGCACAGGGATAACATGTAAACTCCACACAGAAATGTCGGCTGGCTTGGTAAGGACTAGAACAAGTGACGTTCTTGCTGTGAGGCGACAGTGCTAACCACTGGGCCACCGTGCCACCCAAGTAAGGAGGAGGAGTAGGGGTGGAAGGGGGGATTCTTCAAAATGAAGATGGCTGTCATATGGAACTTAGGGTATTTATAGTGGCTCAGGAATCATCTGATTGTTAAATCATGAATTAAATAATGCAGCACCAGCTGTGATCAATCATGAGCACGTGATCCCCTCGAAATTAGTTTATAAACTTCACTTACACCCTAATGAATAAAGGGACTACGTGTTTTTTTCCCTCATTTATTAATTAGCATGATATTAAAATGATTAAAGTGGCATTATTAACAAAACACGAGACTGCACTGCTGCGATTTGCATCATTTATTTCACATATAGGTGTTTCGGAAAAGATTTCTGAGGAACCAATTGTCCCTCAGCAAACTTCAAATAAAAATACGACAACCGAACATGACAGATTTCCTTAAATCAGCACAAATGACAACAAAAAAAAACCCAACAACAAAATACAACTCAAGTGGAACATAAACTAATAATAAGTTCACTGTTAAACCCAAAGATATTGCCAGTTTCTGCTGACCAACTTGTGCCTGGCATGCCCATGTTTCACACAACAAACATTCAAGCCACAGGGCATTGAGAAACACCAGTCAAGAAATCACTCCAACCAACAATACAGAGTAATGCCAATTATAAAAAGGGGGATCATAGCAGTTATGAAAAGTCAAATAGCCAAAAAGGTCAAATAATACTGAACTAATATATCCAAGAACATCGATTTAGATTTAAAAAAAGCAACATTCACTACTTTGCAAACGACTGGTTTAGATATCATCACACAGAAACCATTGTAATCCAATTTTCCAAATGTATACAAGCGAAACGGTGAGAGAAAGGATTATGTTTGCAAACTCATCGTTCGGTTTTTAATAGCTAATCGCGCTTCTTTAATATAACTGTGACCTTCAGACTTTTATTAATAGGTCGTGTCAGTAAACAAGACTTTTATTCAACGTTATGGAACCTGAAATGTATTTACAGAAGCCGTCTGAGACCCCAGAACACTTGTATGTGATTGGAGGATGATTATGAGGTGGATTTGTGATGCTATTTAAAGCAAGAGGAACATATTATCCGGGTGTGCGTCTGGAGTGATTCACTCAGATTAGTAGTATTATTATTAATAACAAGTGATGTTCAGCGCTTACTATTATAGATTATTACTATTACACAGAGTTAAATTCTCAAATCTAAAGCTGGCTATGTGAATTTATTTAACTTTAAATAGGTTTGTTATACAAGTGTTGTGCAATTCATAAATAATAAATCATAATTTTGCATATAGACTCACCAGCAGATTCCACTCTGGCATAGATGATTTTTTAATATTGGCGTAAATTAGGTGAAAAGAACAAGGCATACTGGAAGATTTCAATTTGCTTAGTTTATTAGAGCCTTTGCTTGCCTTTCTCGTATTTCTAGTAAACAAAAAGCACAAGTATGAGTTGCAGCATCTGGATGAAGGCCCAGGGCCGACATGCAACGTAGGTAAAAGGTCGGTCAGTGTATCTTTTGGTCATTGAATTTTCATTTTAGAAACGGATATTGAAAAACTAAAATGAAAAACTAATATATTATATTAGTTTAAGATATTGAAAAACTAACTTGATTTTTGTTTTAAAATTAAAAAAACGAACATTTATACTCGATGCGTTTTTTGATTTTTGTTTTAGAATTTTAAAGCGTAAATATAAAAAAAGGCTTTTTTTTAATGGTGAAAAACAGAAAAACTAAATTCAAAAATTATTAGATTTTTATTTCGATTAACAAAAAATAAAAGCACCAGAAAACAAAAACAAATAAAGACCTTATTTTTTTTATATTCCAAACCAGATACACTCTTTCACGGTGCACAATGCTGCCACACACAGGCTAGCCTAGTATAGGCTATTATATATTTCCACTTAATATCGTTATAGAAGGTATTTTTTTATTATAACGGGATTTTGTCAAGACATATTTTCCTCATTGAAGCCGGTTATATGGAACAACATAACTGATGTAGTATTTGCAGTGCTGAACAGTTTTCTGAAAATAAAGTTTACTGTTAAAAATCACTTCCACTTCAGAAGTGACAGTAACATTGAGCATTCGTTTGGAATCATTGCTCATCTCTCCGTGTTAAATATTAAACTTATGGATAGATCCCCTGTAGAGGGGTGATGATGCATGCACACAACGGCAAGCTTAGCGATAGTCCGCTTTTGAAAGACACGGGATCCTTACCAGGGTGTTTGTGCAGCATGCCTCCTTTCAGATAAAATTCTTCATTTTAATTCATGAAATTATTGAAATGTGCGTAACGAACAACTGTATTAATGCCTCTCTCAAACGTAAAAAAAAAAGTATTCATGGTAAAACTTCGGGAAGTGGAAGTATTATGGTTTTAACAATATTAAAACTGTTAAAGTGTTTAGTAAAGCAACCTAGCGCTTGCATGTAATGTCAAAATAAAGGTTGTTTCATTTAAAACATCCTAACAAAAAATAAATATATAGCCTATAACCGACCCTTATATGAGAAATGCCTTGTCTTAATAAGGGAAAATATGTCTTGACAAAATAAAGAACATACCTTTTATAACGATATTAAGTGGAAATAAATAATAGCCTATAGTAGGCTAGCCTGTGTGTGGCAGCATTGCGTCGCCGTAAATGAGTCGGCCTATCTGGTTTCGGAATCTAAAAAAAAAATTCTTCATTCATTTTTGTTTTCTCATGATTTTATTTTTTGTAATTTGAAATAAAAAAAAATTCAAACAAATAATTTTTTGCGTTTTGCTTTTCACCATAAGAACGAAAAACGAGTCATTTTTTATATTTTTATTTCAAAATTCAAAACCATTCGAAAATCAAGTCGTTAGCGAGTCGACATATGGTGCTGTAGCACTTCAGGGTGTCCCGAGTTCGAAACCCGGCTTGAGGACATTTCCTGTCCCTAACCCCCCTCTCTCTCCCACTTCGCTTCCTGTCTGGAATACTGTCCTATCCACTTAAAAAAGGCAAAAAGGCCAAAAATAAATCTTAAAAAAAAAAAAAAAAAACGAAAATAAAAAAAAACGCAATAAATTTCAATTTTCGACTTTTAATTTTATAACGAAAATCAAAAAACGACTCATTTTTAATTTTTCAATACCCGTTTCTGAAGGTAAATAGTCCTTATGTGGTTAATCATGAAATATTTAAATGAAAATGAGAGTGGCCGTCTAACTAATGACGCATTGTGATTGACTATAGAATAAAGGGGTGGAGTTAGAGGATTGTATCACACACTGAGGCAGGCATTGTGCTGTAACATTTGTGTTTTTAAATCACCTGAAGACTTTAAAAAGAAAAACGGTACGAAGCAACTACTTGATGTTCTTCGTGAATCATTACCTTTTTCATTATCGGTTTCTAAAATGAAAATCCAATGACCAAAAGATACACTGACCGGTGAAAGCATGCAGAGCAGCGTCACGTGATGGAGATCACTCCAGACGCACCGCACATCTCCCATCTAGTAAAATCTTACCTGCATTGCTTATGAAGAAAAAAAAGAAATTTTGGAAAAAGAGAGAGATACAGGGAAACATTTTAAGATTTAATGCTTACAGGAATGTAAAATGAAGAATCTCCCTTAAAAATAAAAATAATAATAAGAATAATTTCATGATGTTAAAGTGTGCATTGAAACCAAATAATAATAATAAGATTTTAATTCAATAAACGTCTACTGATGAATGAGATCAAAAACAAAAGGCGTGAGATGAGATGATAGGGTATGCATGTGATGCATGTTCACAGTATGTACAACTGACGCGCATGTATGTGTGTGTGTGGTTTGCAGGGGGATCATGGCTGTTTCCTGTGGGAGAATGGCCGGTCGGAGGTGAGAGGTCAGTGTCTAAGGGTCACAGTGAGTTAGAATGAGGTCAGACTCGGGGCAACTGCTTTTCAATGAAGTCCTTCACAGCAGACATCTCCTGCAGAGCAAATCACAGAGGAGTTTGGGTGTTAGAAGTGGTGTGAACATATTTAGCGCAACTACCGTATTGCAGAGGGGCAGTTCTAAGAGGGCGGGGCAATGTGAAATGGGTGGGATTAACACTGTGTGCCCATAACTATATGACAAGATTCCAACGACAAGCAATTTGGCTTATACGTGACAGAAATGTTATGTAAACTCACATTGGTGGCATTTCCCACTTAATAAAGCACATAAGCAGTACCTGAGGCTAGGCCTGTCACAATAATCAATATAAGGACTTAACGCACAACACATTTATGTGACCTGAATCATTTTAGGTGATGCAATATATATCGTCCATACAGAAAGACCAATCCTAGCAAAATTTTATCTGATTGTGCAACATCTCCATCTCTATTTGAGGTGTCAGTATGGTTAAAATACTTACATATAAATCACTATAGTATATTTTCATGTGAGTGTCTGACAACATTTATTATTATTTACTTGTTTAGGATATGCGTTTTCACATTCTGATTCCAATGCCATATACAACAGCGCTGTCTGGTTCTCGAATCTGAATGGCTGATAGCCGTTATATACTAAAGTAATATCAGCACTCGTATCTGAATCAGGTTCTCGAATCTGATTGGCTGATAGCTGTGATATACTAAAGTAATATCAGCACTCGTACAGCCTCTTCACCCTTGTGTATTTTTTGAGTGGCAAGCAGAGGACTAGTTTGACAAATAATATTGCAGCTGTTGGACAACATAATGTACTTATGAGGCTTTTTGAGGCAAGTAACTACTATTCAGGCATGCAACTATGCAGTTTATTTATGAGGACAGTGCTAATTTTAAAATATATATAGTTTTGGAGATTCACCACATTCGCGCCCAGCCTGCCATACTAAGCAAAGCAAAGAGGGTTGATGTTCCGCCACAAGATGACAACCTGACAGACCGCATAATAAGTCCTTAGAAATTTCAAACTACAGCTGATCAAATCATTATAAAACAGGTAAGTGACATTTTAAGTCGATCATCTCTCTTTTGTAGTGCTCTATTTATACCATAGTAATCTGAAAGTGTTTGCTTTGCTTTGGCTTTTTCTGGGTTAATTACTGTGATCGCGATTGCAACAGAGAAATACTGGGAAATCTCTGTAGACTGATGGCATTTCATGCCGTTCAGCCTTAAAATCTTAAAACGTCAGCAAAATAACCCGCTTTGTCATCATTTTAGACATTACGCTAGAGAATCATTCAAACACTAGCTCCAAAGTGACGTTGGTGAATTAGTAACGGTTTCTGCTGTTCTAATGTCAGCAGCAGATAAGATTTAATTGCGGAAGAAGGTACTTCCTCTTATAAAAGGGTTTTTCCTTGTTTATATACACAATTATACCGTTGTATAATATATACACAAATATACACAATTATACCGTTGAACTGTTGTATAAATGCAATATCGATATATATATATATACATATACACACATACAGTTGAAGTCAGAATTATTAAACCCTCTGAATTATTAGCCCTGTTTATTTCTTTTCCCCAATATCTGTTTAATGGAGAGCAGATTTTTTCAACACATTTCTAACCATAATAATTTTAATAACTAATTTCTAATAACTGATTTGTTTTATCTTTGCCATGATGGCAGTACAAAATAATTGACTAGATATTTTTCAAGACACTTCTATACAGCTTAAAGTGACATTTAAAGGCTTAACTAGGTTAATTAGTTTAACTAGGCAGGTTAGGGGAATTAGGCAAGTTATTGTTTAATGATGGTTTGTTCTGTAGACTATCCAAAAATAAATAGCTTAAAGGGGCTAATAATTTTGTCCTTAAAATGTTTTTTTTTTAATTATAAACTGCTTTTATTCTAGCCGAAATAAAACAAATAAGAAAAAATATTATCAGACATACTGTGAAAATTTCCTTCCCCTTTTAAACATAATTTGGTAAATATTTAAAAAAGAAATAATAAATAATTATTTAATTATTTAATTAAATAATTCTAATTTAAACTGTATATATACACATAAAATGTATGTATGCATATACATATATATTAGTCATACTGGCATTATATAATGAGTGGCATAAAATTGTCTTAAATAACAATAATATCATTTATCGCAATATATTTTGGTGCAATATATCAACAAATATTGATGTATGTGATGCAGACCAGAGACTGTTGTGTACACAATGATTTTATAAAAAAAAAAAAAAAAACACTTTAATGTGTTTTATGACTAAAAAGGGGTCATATACAAAAATTATCTCAATTCAACTGAGTAACAGCTTAATCCTGGAAACAGTATTACAGAGGTCACAACTAAACAAGCAGATATAAATAAGCTGATACTACTATTTTCTGCTTTGTTTTTTATAAAAGCCCTCATAATGAGCTCAAATATGCTAAAGTGTCTGGAGACTGACCTGAGGACAGGAGCTGTGCATGAGACCCGGGTAGGTGCGGAAGGTGATATTCTCTGGAGACACAATGGTCTTGAGCTTCTCTGCTGTCATGGCCCCAAACTGCACCGGGATCATGGGATCCATCTCACCGTGACACTGAAGAATGGGAGTGTCCTTGTTTGCACTCGCACCTGCAGCCTAATGGATTAAACAAAACAAGCAGATACATATTGACAGACGTTCATATGTACATATTAACTCAAACGCTGCTGACTAGGCTGATGACGGTATCACATTTTGTAATAATCGCTGAAGCTTTTACCACAATATTGACCTAAGGCGAAGCTCCCAAAAAAGGTTACTTTAACATAGGGCTGCAGGATAAAAAGGTATCGGTATTTATTGATGGTACACCATTGTTAATAATGACTCGGTGTGTTCAGTATGAATCATTATCATTTTATTAAAATACGGCTGAATGAGCGTACACCTGAATATTAACAGTACGCACTCATTCAACTGAACATCTGATAGGCTCACACTAGCTACAGTTGCCTTGAACCGTGCACTTGTCCTTACACCCCTCTCCACCTCAGCCTGCACTCACATTGCATTTTTTACCTTCCAAGCCGGAGCACGCTTACATGATGCGACTGTTCAGTTTAACAGGAAGAGAAGCGCTCTCGCTCAGCACATTGCTTCAGTAATATTGTTTTGAATTATTTTTAGTTGTTTGGGATGCAGTGACAGAGTCAAATATTTTGCGGAGCTGATCCACAACATTTGACGCTCATAAAAGTCCTCATGCTGCAGGTATTAGGAGGTTTGCTGAAGGTGCAGCTGTCATGTAGTGAGGAGTTTGAGTCTTTAAAGGGTCACGAAACACCAAAACACATTTTTTGAGCAGTTGACAGTCGTATATGTGTCCCACACTGCTAAAAACATTATTAAGACACCTATATTTCACTAAAAAGTGTAAATTGGTTGTTTTTGCGTTATTTCAAGCAAATTCGTACTTCCTGTTTGAAACAAATTTTTGAAGCTGCGTCACGGTCATGACATAATAGCCTGTATTCCAGCGTGCAACTGGGCGTCTGTGCCAGAGTGAGTCTTATTACGTCTTACAGTGTGATGCATTAATGCATGAGTAAGGCTTGGTTCAAACCAATTAGCGCGCTCTATTGTGCAACTTCATTAATATTCATTAGTGTCACCGTGTGTACACCAGAGACGCCACGTTGTGTTGGCAAAACAAGCGTGAAGTGTTTCTTTTATAGTTTGCTGCCATTAAGTTTCGTTTTCATTTTCTCTCTGTGAGAGCTCAGCTGGATCACGTGTGGATTACAGTGTACGCGACGATCGACAACAATAACTTACGTGTCTAAGGAGGAACATTGTTTACCTGAGAGCTGTTCTCATCTGCAAACGCTGAAATCCGGATTCGCTTGTAACGTTAGTCTCCTCTTCATAAAGACGCGGCTCTAGCTGCTGGTGATTGTCCTGTCTCTACAGATTTGGTAAGTGAGCGACCAGTGCTCTTTGTTTATTCAGTTTGTTCGTATCGAATAAAGTTAACTATTGCACTGAGTGCAAACATAGCACCGCATTTAGAGACCGGAATAACACACGTGGCTTTCTGACACTACCTGCCGTGTGCATCTAAGTTTCCGGGAAATGCAGAGTTTTTTTCTCTCATTCGCCGTGCGGTATCAAATATTGCATGAAAAATACACGCTTAGAGCAGATCCTCGAATCAAATATCGCGCTTGTTGCGAGGGGCATGAATGAATTCCCTGAATGAAAGAGCCAAACTGCAGTTAAAGTCCAACATTTAATAATTTGGCAAATAATTCGACTACAGATGTCCATGTAGGTTAAACACCATCACTTTCTCATGTGTGTGTATTTTGACTGAAACTCGCGCGTGCCCAAATAGACACTCCCACACCATCCCACTTTAGTTCCTCCGACACTCCCCCCTAAACAGAGCTGGACACGCCCACTTTTCTGACTTTTTCTAAAGTAGAGGTGTGAAAACACCCTGCTGAAACGAGGGGGTTTCATGGCCCTTTAATAAACCATGACAGTTTGCATTCATTGGAAATTAAGAATGATTAATAAATCCATATGAAACAGTCCCTTAATAGTGATGTTGCGTCTTCAGTTTTCAACCGAACCGCACTCAGTCACACCTCTTCCAACTGGGCCAGGACCGGTTAACTAAACCGCGCCTTGGCACATGGCGGAGAATTGACACTTCTCAAAATAACCGGAAAATACGTCCGGGTTTGGTTTAGATAGTCTAGTGTGAGTGCACCTTGAGCTTGTTACGAGTGATAATAAGCCAATACAGCCAATAAGCTTACGCAGCCAAACATCTTTGCCGGCGCGGTGGCGCAGTCGCCTCACAGCTAGGCCGCTAGTTCAAGCCTCAGCTGGGTCAGTTGGCATTTCAGTGTGGAGTTTGCATGTTCTCCCCGTGTTGGCGTGGGTTTCCTCTGGGTGGTCCAGTTTCCCCCACAAGTCCATAGACATGCTCTATAGGTGAATTGGGTAGGCTAAATTGTCCTTAGTGTATGTGTGTGTGTGTGTGTGTGTGTGTGTGTGTGTGTGTGTGTGTGTGTGTGTGTGTGAGAGTGTATAGGCGTTTCCCAGTGATGGGTTGCAGCTGGAAGGGCATCCTCTGTGTAAACATATGCTGGATAAGTTAGCGGATTAATCCGAAAAGAAAATGAATGAATGAATGAATGAAAATGAGGAAATAAAATCTATCAGCTTGCCCTTTTTTTGCTTTCTTTTCTTCTTCAATGTTGTGTATAAGCTTAGCAACAACAAAGTAAAAACTTCCTGGCCAAGTATGGAAACACAAGCAACTAATTATATCATCTTATCAGGTTTTTGTTTATGACATTTAAGGGTCTCTTTAACACTTATTTTTATTTTATTATCCGACATAAGAGACTGCAAATACAATGAGATCATTCTAAAAAAACACTCAAAAAGGTTTAATCATAATTATTTTAAGTATATTTGAATATTGTGCATGTTCATATTCATTATCATAAACTTTTTTCTACAATTTCCGTTTAATGGAAAGAAGAATAGTACATTTCTAAGCAAAATTGTAACGACTGAAGTTTATATATTTTTTTATTGCGTATTGCATGTGTCTTTTTCTTTGTCCCGCCTTCTTCTTGTTTTTTCTATTTTCCCATAGGCTCCCATACTGGCATGATTTCTTGTTCTGATTGGCTGCTGGTCTCGGAGGAGCTTCCGGCAGGGTTCAGGGAGCTCATTTGTGCAGCGATCGTTGCTGGGAGTGGAGCTCCTGGTTTTCCCTTATTCATCCGGCCGACGACCAACATTCAATTTAGTACCACTGTTCAAATGTTCAACTTATTCTGAGAGTTTGAGCTTGTAGGGGTGGCCTGCCTATTTAGTTGATTACTTTTGACTATGTTTGTGTTTAGGGAGAAAGGTAAGCTTCCTGTATTTTCCTTTAAATATTTATAGGTAATTTGGTGCATTTACTTTATAGATTCTTTTGTTTGTTATTTTGGCCTGTGGCCACCCTGAAGAGATGCTCATTTATATTTACTACTTTTTCTATGATAAATCTATTCATTTACTCTCAACTGAGTGTCCGAGTTTGATTGTCGACCGAAGGGGATCTTTTGCATTAAGTTTCTGTTTTGTTTGGGAAATCCACCACCACAACACATTTGTTTTTCCGTTTATTATGCCCATGTTGTTTTCCCCTAGACTTGGGGCATTATAACCTTAAAGTGACATTTAAAGGCTTAACTAGGTTAATCAAGTTATTTAGGCAAGTTAGGGTAATTAGCCAAATAATGGACAACAGGGTTTTGTTTTCTTATAATATTAATGTTAAAATTGTTTAAACTGCTTTTAATCCAGCCAAACTTTGTTTGTTTTGTTTGGGAAATCCACCACCCCAACACATTTGTTTTTCTGTGTATTATTCCCATGGTTTTTTCCCCTAGACATGGGGCGTAATAATAATATTTTTAATAACTTATTCCTAAAAACTGAATTATTTAATCTTTGCCATGATGACAGTAAATAATATTTGACTAGATATTTTTTAAGACACTAGTATTCAGCTTAAAGTGACATTTATAGGCTTAATCAGGCGAGTTGGGTTAATTAGGCAAGTCATTGTATAACAGTTATTTGTTCAGTAAACTATCAAAAATAAATATTACTTAAGGGGGCTAATAATTTTGTCCTTAAAATTGTGTTTAAAAAATAAAAACTGCTTTTATTCTAGCCGAAATAAAACAAATCAGCCTTTCTCCAGAAGAACAAATATTATAGGAAATACTGTGAAAAATTCCTTGCTCTGTTAAACAACATTTGGGAAAAATTTAAAACAAAACTAAAAATCAAAAGAGGGCGAATAATTCTGACGTCAACTGTATGTGTACTGCTGGCAGTGTTGTACCTGTGGGAAAGTCTTATGAAGGGGAAGCCAACAGCTGAGTCCGACGACGCCAGCGAGCTGCTGCTGAGAGGTCAGAGCGGTGTAGAGAGACAGAGCTCCACCCTGAAGAGCACAGCACAACACAGCACATCTGTAGCATCAGCACTGTCACTCATATGCAGGAAGGGGTTCAGGATCCACCACTCACCTGAGAGAAGCCCCCGAGGACAATACGATTGGATGGTATACCGTTCTTTACCTCGTGATCGATGATGGCTTTTACTGTTGAAGAGAAGGAGAGCAGTCTAGATTTGGTCCCGCTTCATGTTAAGTGGCCTTAACTAATATGTGCTTACAGTGAAATTAATCATTTTTTACAACGTACTTATAGTGTAAATGCATGTTTTCAAGCTGTACTTATGATTGATTAAATACATGCATGGAAATACATCTGTAATTACACTGTTGACCATCCCACACATCTTAAACTACACATACCACCAAACTTGACCCTAACCCGACCCGTATCTCACTAAAGAGCATCACACGAGTTCTGCAATACACTATGAACACATTGTATGTATTTTTTGATGCAAGTAGGTAGTAGTTAAGGCCACCTAATAAAAAAGTAGGACCCTATATTTAACTGCACATAATCAAATTTGAGGATATAATAATAAATTCTTGCAGAAAATCTTTACCGTAGAAAAATGACATGCTTCTTTAGGTGTGTATAAATGTGTGTGTGAGAAATATAAATTATTTTTTTAAAGTGTTGCTTTTGGACTGAAGATTTTTTTACACATTTATAAAGATAATAGTTAATAAATAATTAATTTCTAATAACTGATTTATTTTGTCTGTGCCATGATGACAGCACATAATATTTGACTGAATATTTTTTCAAGATACTTTTATTTATCTGTTACGACTGAAGTTTATTTATTCACTTTTTTTATTGCGTATTGCATGAGTCTTTCTCTTTGTCCCGCCTTCTTGTTGTTGTTTCTGTAATTCTATAGGCTCTCATTTCAGCGAGATCTCGTGTTCTGATTAGCTGCTGGTCTCGGAGGCCTGTATAAAAAGGAGCTTCCGGCAGGGTTCGGGGAGCTCATTTGTGCTGCGATCGTTGCTGGGAGTGGAGCTCCTGGATTTCCCTTACCCCTCCGGCCAATGACCAACATTCAATTTTGTACCACTGTTCATGCGTTAACCTATTTTGAGAGTTTGAGCTTGTAGGGGTGGGCTGCCTATTTAGTTGATTACTTTTGACTATGTTTGTGTTTAGGGAGAAAGGTAAGCTTCCTGTATTTTCCTTTAAATATTTATAGGTAATTTGGTGCATTTACTTTATAGATTCTTTTGTTTGTTATTTTGGCCTGTGGCCACCCTGAAGAGATGCTCATTTATATTTACTACTTTTTCTATGATGAATCTATTCATATACTCCCAACTGAGTGTCCGAGTTTGATAGTCGACCGAAGGGGATCTTTTCCATTAAGTTTCTGTTTTGTTTGGGAAATCCACCACCCCATCACATTTGTTTTTCCGTTTATTATGCCCATGTTGTTTTCCCCTAGACTTGGGGCATTATAACCTTAAAGTGACATTTAAAGGCTTAACTAGGTTAATCAAGTTATTTAGGCAAGTTAGGGTAATTAGCCAAGTAATGGACAACAGGGTTTTGTTTTCTTATAATATTAATGTTAAAATTGTTTAAACTGCTTTTAATCCAGCCAAACTAAATGGAATAACACTTTCTCAGGGAGAAAAGATAGGAAATACTTTGATTAAACTTGGGAAATATTTGAAAAAGACTTCAACTGTAAATTACAGCGTTCAGGTATGGGTCAGTTCTTGTTTTCAGAAAACTGACAAAACAAAAAACATTTCTTCCTCACTGTTCTCTGCTGCTCTCTTAATCCCTGCTTCATCCTCCGGTGATTCCGGGCTTAAGCCCATCAGATCAAACCTAAAGAGGAAAAAAAATACACATTAAACAAAAATGAAAAGGGCAATCCAGGGCCTCAAAATTCAACTAGTAAAATAATAGTATTATTATTTTTAATAAAATATACATTATTTCCCATAATGCATTATATTTAATTAACTTAACATTTATAAAACATGTTATCTAAATCAATTAATAAATGACCTCTATATGATATTATTAGTTTATATTGTCATATAAGTATATTATAAGGTCAGAAGTTTGGTTTTGTATTTTTTTTATGTTTTTTAAAGTTACAAAACACAATAAAACACTAATATTATAAAAAAAAATTACAATTTCAAGAGTTCACACTTAGATATTGCTGGATATCAATAGCAGGTTTAGCATGCAGTCCCAGGAGAAATCCCTGAGCTTGGAGATAATTGAGCCCAGGGCTCCCGCCTGGTCAATGAGCATGTAAGGGGAGTACGAGATCAGGTATTTTTTTGAGAGCTCCCCCTGATAAAGGAGGAAAAAGGGAGAGATGGAGTGGATGGGGGACTCTTCAAAACAAAGATACGGGAGTAAGCAGGACAGGCTATTTATTATGAGTTTGGAATATTCAGATTGGTTTATTAATGATTGCGGATGAGAGACCAGCCACGATCAATCATATCACGTGCTCCTCTCGAAATTAGTTTGTGAATCTTCAGTTAAAATGGCTCATATTTGAAAACTATTTCATTATTTATAATTTTTTTTTATACAAAGCTGAATTTTGAGTAGTATTAATGTCACATGATTCAGTGGAAATCGTTCCAGTATCACAAGTCACTTTTTTATTATCAATGATGAATCGTGCTGCTTCATAGTATTGTTGACATGCTTCTTCCAAATACTTTGATGAACAGAAAAAAATTCCCCAAAGAAATTGTATTTAAGATTATATATATATATATATATATATATATATATATATATATATGTATATATGTGTGCGTGTGTGTATGTATGTATGTGTGTATATATATATGTATATATATATATATATATGTATATATGTGTGTGTATGTGTATGTATATGTGTATATGTATATATATACACGCACACATATATACAACAGAAAAAAATTCCCCAAAGAAATTGTTTTTAAGATAATATATATATATATATATATATATATATATATATATATATATATATATATATATATATATATATGTATATATGTGTGCGTGTATATATATATATACACATATACATACACATACACACACATATATACATATATATACATATATATATATACATACACACATATATACATATATACATATACATATATATACATACACACACACACACACACACATCCATGCTGAATAAGCATAGTAATTTCTTAATTTTACTGCTTCTAAACTCTTGAATACTACAATATTAAATAAAATGACATTTTGAACGACATAACAACATTTTCATTGCACATGCTTTACTTAGTTTATTGCTCTTTTGCTTTTTTAAGTAAAATATCTAAGCCACATGACCAATATCACAAATGTAGATTAGCTGACCATTAACAGAGAAACACCTGAATCATTTTACATGAGCCTACATTTTCTTTTTTATTAAATTTCTCAACAATTTAATTTATTTATTGAATTTCTTTTCTCAATCCCAAGTTTACATCACATTCATAATCTTCATTGTACTTTTACAAATGCAATATTATCTGCAGCAGAATCCTCTTACCATGACGGCATGGTCATCTTCAAGTTGAGCGTTACAGGGATTCTGGGCCTAAAACAAAAAGTAAAACAATTACTTTAAGTTGCAACTAACAATATTTCTGCACTGCATAACGATCAACAATGCATCTAAAATGCTGATCGGTTTAAAGGCTGTCACTTACGCATGTGGGCAGATGTATTTGATGTACGGCAGTCGAATCGATGTCATGGCATCAGCCCAGCCGTGTCTATAATAAGCAACATGACAGAGTTATTTCCACAGCAGGTCGGGGGCATTAAAAGATCCCGCAACCTGCAGGTAATGAACAGAGCTTACCCTGTATCGCCCAAGCCATGAAGGAAGATCACCTGCAACAGAAACAAGAAGCATGATGTGAAACCAATATCATCACAAAGCCCAAAAGAGGCCCAATTTCCTGTGTCTCACGCTGACTCTGGGTTATTTCATACGAGGATAACATCTCAACAGCGCACTTGAGCTTTCTGTTCAGTCTGTACTAAGTTTATTGGTCACATACACAGTAGGATTTACAGTAAAATGCTGATACAACCACCTATGATCTAAAAAAAAAAAATAAATAAAATAATAATAATAATATCAATAGGAATCTAAATAAGGGATTAAAATTAGATAAAATTAGTAACAAAAAAAATTAGATGTAAAAATGTAAGTTATAGCTACAGAAAATAAAAACAAATATAATATTTTTTAAACACACAAACACATATATTTATATATATATATTTATAAGTATATAAATATATGTGTTTGTGTGTTTAAAAACTGGGATGTTTCTTCACCAAACTTGACCGATTTCTAAGAATCTAGTGTCCATGTGGGTTTCAATAGGTCTTCTGCAGTATTTCTGATGATTGGGATGCAGATCAACAGATGATTCATCTGGAAAATCGACCTTCTGCCACTTTTCGAGTCAAGTTATTATTTGTTGCTCTTACAAATGGGATCCATGACAAGACTTTCGTCAGGTAGTGTATAGTGTGTGTTTAAAATAAGTGAATACATTTAATTTATGTATGTTTGGGTGAACAGCAAAACGGGGACAAGCATCAAAACAATTAAAGTGTCATTTTTCTTCCATTAAAATGTCACTGTAACAATATTGTAAATACAGAAAAAGCTTGTCAACAATATATTGAGTATTTATTTGACAGACTACTAAATGATCAATTTCAAGAACGATTAAATCACATTAATTAAACTTTATGACCTTGGATCTTCCAATAGTGGAAACCAGCACCAAGTCTGTCTTACTGGTTTGAAATGACACACATTGGTGAACGAACCCTGGCCTTGTGTAAAGCTAATGAATCACTTGGACATCTTCAGATTTTAGTTAATGATTGGATGGTTGTCTCACCACAGCCGTCTCCTTCTCCGTCCCAGGCACCGTCACGGCTTCAGCGAGCAGGGGTACAGACATGTTGTTGCCACACATACAATGTGAGGAGATGCTTTTGGGAAAATACACACACACACAAAAAAGAAGCAACAACTTTCAATTATTACAACACGTTTTCACAAATTACAAAGGCCCAGGCAAGAAGAATTGTTAAAGATACGAACCAGCGATTTTAGAAAGAAACTGTCAGCAGGCTGCAGAATGATTAACAAAAGTTGGTTTAATTTCCACTCATTTCAACTAAAGCAATCCATGCCCAGCTAAACCTAAGAGTGCACCGGCAGAGCATCTAGATGTGGATAAGCAATGTAGAAAGGTGTAATTAAAGGGATAGTTCACTTAAAAACAAAAATTCTGTTATTGTTTCCAACAATTTATCTGTAAAACACAAAAGAAGACATTTTGAGAAATGTTTGAAACCTGTAACCATTGACTTCCATACTATGGAGGTCAATAGTTTCACAAAATATCCTCTTTTGAATTAAACCTCTTGAGGGAGAGTAAACAGTGAGTAAATTTGTATTTTTGTGTGAACTAACCCTTTAATGACAGGGTGATTTAGCCTACTGGATAAGCGCCGATGCTTATGGTAATCATACGGTGCGAGCTTCATTTTCCTCTTATGGCTGTGGGGATCACAAGTTTGTACTCGCAGACGTCTGCTTGAGACCAATTCCCAGAAAACCGTTTCTAATGAAGCCTAAATGAAAACCACGGGTCCCTGTTTTCCAGGAAGCACATGACAGCACTGAGAAATCAAATCTTGACAGCTGCGGGAGGCAAAACACTCCACTTTAATGGCTTCATCCGTGCCTGAGTGGCCTGAGCGACCATATCACGAGTTTAAAGGGAGGGTTCACTCAAAAATGGAAATGTACACAGCCTTAAGTAGTAATAAAGCATTATGAGATACGAGACATAAGAAGATATTCTGAAAAAAAAAACTAAAAACACCATTGACATCTATAGTATGAAAAAAACAAATACAATGGAAGTCAATGGTTACAGGGTGCCAGCGGTCATCAAAATATCCCTTTTTGTGTTTATCAGTAGAAAGAAACTCAAACGGGTTAAGAATAAGTCATAACTTCAAAATTATTACTGAAATGATCAAAATAAAACTTAAAATGATCACTGAAAAACAGAAAACCTGTAACCATTGATTTCTATAGTAGAAAAAAACAAATACTATGGAAGTCAATGGTTACAGGTTTCTAGCATTCGTCAAAATATCTACTTTTGAGTTTCGCAGAAAAAAGAAACTCCAACAGGTTTAAAATAAGTAAATCATAACTTAAAAATTATTAAAATAAAACTTTAAACTAATGCTAAAAATAAACAAAAAACCTGGTATAATAGACTTCTATAGCAGAAAAAACAATACAATGGAAGTCAATGGTTACAGGTTTCCAGCGTTCATTATAACTTAAAAAAAAATATTACTGAAATTATCAAAGTAAAACTTAAAATGAATACTGGATAACAGAAAACCTGTAACCATTGACTTCTATAGTAGAAAAAACAAATACAATGGAAGTCAATGGCTACAGATTTCCAGAGTTCAACAAAAATACATAGTTTTAAGTTTAGCAGAAGAAACTCAAACAGGTTTGGATAAAGTAATTACTAAAATTATTCAAATAAAACTTTAAATTATTACTAAAATAACAGAAAACCTGTAACCATTGACTTCTATAGTAAAAAAAACAAATACAATGGAAGTGAATGGCTACAGATTTCCAGCGTTCATCAAAATATCTACTTTTGTTTTTAGCAGAATAAAGAAACTCAAACGGGTTTGGAATAAATAAATTATTACTTTAAAATTATTTCTAAAAAAATTCATTATTATTGAAATAAAAACAGAAAACCTGTAACCATTGACTTGTATAGCAGAAAAAAACAAATACTATGTTAGTCAATGGTTACAGGTTTCCAACATTCATCAAATCATCTACTTTTGTGTTTAGCAGAAGAAAGAAACTCAAATGGGTTTGAAATAACTAAAAGGAGATTAAATGTTGACATGATTTCATATTTGAGTGAACTGTCCCTTGTAACAAAACTTCAATACGGTCATCTCCCATGTCAAGGATTTATGTGTCAGCTTACCTGCTGTAATATTATTACACATCTCCAAATGCCACTGACATCTCCACGAAATAACAGAACAATCATTTAATGCAGCATCATGAGAAATTTTAATGAAACAATGAATTACTGATGCATGATAACAAGTGAGCATTAATAATCTCCAATGCGTCAGTAAAATAATCCTTCACATGAGCCCTCGATCATACATTCATACAGAAAGGGAAGGGACAGGCTGAGAAAACAATAGATTAACGGCCGAAGCTTTGCTCAATATCTCCCCTCATTCTGTCATAATCAAGAACAGAATATGTGTATAACAAATCCTCTAGGTCGTTTCATTAATACTCGAGCGACATGTTAGGCAGCTTAATCCCGTTTCGCCTGTATTCTTGTCACAATGAATCCACAGCCTCATAGATGAAGCCATCAGAATCTCTCTACCCCCACGTTTAATCCCACTACTGCGCTGCTCGAAGACAAGCTCTCGCCTGTAGAGCGACCGATAAAGCCATGGTCAGGGTGTAAACTATAAATTTAGGGTTCAAGCATTTTAAAAAAAGCAGAATTAAACAGCGGCCCACTGCTGCAAATTTATCGACTCACCGCTTGCTATCCCAGGTCACAACGGAACTTCCGCTCCTTCAGCAGGAGAGGCGGAGACTTGCGTCATGACGCCATCGCGCTCGTCCACCCGCGTGAGCTTGAATGTCGGAAACCTCCTTATTTATTAGAAGTTATTAAAAAAAAATAAAGTTCCTGTAAAGGGGCGAAGCAGTGGCGCAGAAGGTCGCTAGTTAGTTTTAGTTGTACTAAAGCAGATATGACATCGTACAACCCAATTTGTATTTGTGTACCAAATGTCCTTGACAAATTTTGCATTTCAAATAAAGTAAGAGAAATTCATTTAAAGATTTTACATAAAATATACCCAACCAATGTGTTACTTTCCAAATTTTTAGATATTGAGAAAGAATGTTCATTTTGTAAAAACAGCGAGGAATCCTTATGTCACTTATTTGTTGATTGTCAGAGTGTGCAATTATTTTGGAAAGACTGTTTATCCGATTATTCTGCTAAAAATAATATGTTGATAACACTGAATGCAAAAGAAATTATTTATTATTTTGAAAATGGTGATAAACAAATTAACAATTTTGTTAATGTTATTATTTTAAATGGTAAATTCTTCATCCACAAATGTCAACTTTCAAAATCTCCTCCTTTTTACAAGATATTTGTCAACGAAATTATTCTGTTAATGAAGTCTCTCAAAGCTGTAAAAAATGTAAAAGCTCTGTCTATTGTACGCTATTATGAATCTGTTTTTGGCGTCTTGTGAATGTCTTCCTTCCTTTTGTTTTGTTTTTTCTTTTTTTTTTCTTTGGAATTTTTGTTTGTTGCCTGTTTTTGCTGTATTAGTAAATTACTAATGCATAATTAAAAAAAAATAAATAAATAAAAATGTCCTTGAAATAAAGTTAGAAACGTCAATCTAAAAATCTTTGATGAGTAACAGATCCTTTAACAATACCACAACATAAATCGTAAGTTTTCTCTATCCACTCCAAACCGTTCAAATAACTCTTTTACAGGATAAATTCTGTGTAAAATTTAAAAAGATACCTGTCTTACTTTATTATTTATAAAAAAATATTTGTTGGTGACCTTACTTTCTTCCACTCAATGTTTCCAAATTTTGATGACCAGAAGATTGTTGAAGATGGTATATAATACTTTTTTTAAATACATTTCTAATATATCTATTACTACATTTATCTTTGACAATGTTATTATCACCAAAAAATAAAACATCATTACTTGTCCTTGGCTGTTGGTCCACATTGTATATGGAATTACGCAACAGTGATACAACGTTTACTTGGTATTGCATCAAATATAACAGCATAGTCTTTTGGTTTTACAGGAACTTTTCATTCATTCATTCATTCATTCATTCATTTTCTTGTCGGCTTAGTGCCTTTATTAATCCAGGGTCGCCACAGCGGAATGAACCGCCAACTTATCCAGCATATGTTTTTACGCAGTGGATGCCCTTCCAGCCGCAACCCATCTCTGGGAAACATCCACACACACACACACACTCATACACTACAGACAATTTAGCCTACCCAATTCACCTGTACCACATGTCTTTGGACAGTGGGGGAAACCGGAGCACCCGGAGGAAACCCATGCGAAGGCAGGGAGAACATGCAAACTCCACACAGAAATGCCAACTGAGCCGAGGTTCATACTAGCGACCTTCTTGCTGTGAGGCGACAGCACTACCTACTGCGCCACTGCCTCGCACACGTCTTGATTTAGTTCATTATGATGCGAGTGGGTAGCACGTTCGCCTCACAGAAAGAAGGTCGCTGGTTCCTAGCCTCGGCTGGGTCAGTTGGCATTTCAGTGTGGAGTTTGCATGTTCTTCCCATGTTGGCATGGGTTTCCTCCAGGTGCTCTGGTTTCCCCCACAGTCCACAAAGACGTGGTACAAGTGAATTGGCCGTAAAATTGACCGTAGTGTTTGAGTTCGTGAATGATTGTGTGTGTTTCTCAGTGAAAGGTTGTGGCTGGAAGGGCATACGATGTGTAAAAACATATGCTGGATAAGTTGGCGGTTCATTCCGCCGTGGCGACCCCAGATTAATAAAGCGACTAAGCCGAAAAGAAAATGAATGTATGAAAATGTATTTAGATAATGCCTACATTGCACTAATAATGTGAGTATGTGATTGGCCAAGGACAGAATAGAAGTAAAGACAATTAACGTATATTCAAGTACACAGATATCTCGTCACCTTGGAATTTTAAGGTTCTGTCTGCGTTCTGAATGACTTATGAATGAGTGAGATAATGAATGAGCAGGGCCAGACAGAATCTGCAGACGTTTTTTGCTATTTCTGCAGAGAATTTTGGTAAAAATCTGAGGATTTCTGCGGAATTATTTTGGGAGTTTCCAGTGGAGTATCATAACTTAGACATTAATATATTAAATAAAAAGTAATAAATTACTGAATAAAAACTGAATAACTTCAGATTTACACATTTACTCAAGTAAATAAACAGAATTAATGATAGGCTAAAAATCTGCTGAATTCTGCACGCGCAGATTCCGTGTGGGCCTACGAATAAGATATTGAGCTTTAAAACTTTCACATTCCATAGCAAACAGTATGTGTGTAACATTTGTTTATTAAATAAAAAGTCCTAAAAAGCAAGCAACTCATAAAAAATATTCCATAATGTAAATAAGTTGTCATTTAATAAGAATGTCAATAACTCAATTTTAACAAATGTCAGATAGAACCATATAATTCTAAGGTGACGATTTGTTTTCCATGACTTTTCCAAAAATTTGTGGGTTTTTCCAAAACTTTTCCTGGAAAATGCCACGTCAAAATTCCATGACTTTTCCAGGGATTCCATGACTGGAAACCAGACGGCCAACTACGTCCGGCAAGAATCTGAAGTGTGCAGTCCATGCAGGCTGCACTATCCCATGATGCCCCGAGAGAATTCATGAATGGGAGTAAAGCGACGCAACTGACGCAGGTAGGTCACATGACCATGACTAAATGGCATATGTTGTACGTCCGAATTCCATTCAATTCGTTTAAATTCAAATGCAGTACTCCTGAGTAGTAGGCGATTTCAGACGCAGCCATTGTTCTCAAAAATAAGTATTTTCAATCCTGTTTTCAAAAGTTTTCAAGCCCCAAAATGCTCTGTCATGTCATGCAATGCCATTTAAGCACTCCCTACGACATAAAACCATTCAGTAGAACAATATTAGCAGCAGATTTAGAGATGCTTTTTTAAAGAACAGACTTCTTGTACAGCTCATCTGCTGTTAGCTGAAGAATAGTTTATTGAATGATAAGCATACATGAAGTAACTACGCTTCATGTTAAGCGGCACTTTAGCAGAATTGCAGATAAACAAACCCTTGTGCATAAATCCCCATCAGTCCATTATCTCACTGTTTTGCACAGCTCTATAGCTTCACACAGCACGCGCGGGCCTCGGCCTCCTCCTTCTGTCATGATATAAACTGTGTCTGAGGTGTAATGCTCTCCACTTTGTGATCAGCTGGGTTTGCTGCCGCTTCATAGTTGCAGATTGTCACCTCGTGCCTGTGAGCCTGAAAAAAAGATGTAAGAGTGAATTTGTAATCTGACTTTCCTATCAAAATCTACATATAAAATATTTCTGGAAGAAGAAACGTTCGCATTAGAGCTGTGGTGAAAAATAAGACTTCGAGATATCGATTCTGAGATTTCCAATATACATCTCTTTTCTCTCTGGAATAAATTCTGAAATGAATTTAACAGCCATGGCGCTATACGCATGCTTTTACCAGCAGACGGCATTCTAGGCTAGCTATTAAACCACTCTAGGCTAGGTTTTACCAGTAGACGGTGCTCTAGGGTAGTTTTTACCAGTAGATGGCGCTCTAGGCTAGTTTTACCAGTAGACGGTGCTCTAGGCTAGTTTTTACCAGTAGATGGCGCTCTAGGCTAGTTTTACCAGTAGATGGTGCTCTAGGCTAGTTTTACCAGTAGATGGTGCTCTAGGCTAGTTTTCACCAGTAGATGGTGCTCTAGGCTAGTTTTCACCAGTAGATGGTGCTCTAGGCTAGTTTTACCAGTAGATGGTGCTCTAGGCTAGTTTTACCAGTAGATGGTGCTCTAGGCTAGTTTTACCAGTAGATGGTGCTCTAGGCTAGTTTTCACCAGTAAATGGCGCTCTAGGCTAGTTTTACCAGTAGATGGCGCTCTAGGCTAGTTTTACCAGTAGATGGTGCTCTAGGCTAGTTTTACCAGTAGATGGTGCTCTAGGCTAGTTTTCACCAGTAGATGGCGCTCTAGGCTAGTTTTCACCAGTAGATGGCGTTCTAGACTAGTTTTTAACCAACAGACGGTGCTTTGGGCTAGTTTTTAATCAGTAGATGCCGCTCTAGGCTAGTTTTTACCAACTGATGGCGTCCTAGACTAGTTAACCAACAGACGGAGCTCTAGGCTAGTTTTTACCAACTGATGGCATTCTAGATTAGTTTTTAACCAACAGACGGTGCTCTGGGGTAGTTTTTAACCAATTGACGGTGCTCTAGGCTAGTTTTTACCAGTAGATGGCAGTCTGGACTAGTTTTTAACCAACAGACTGTGCTCTGGGCTAGTTTTTACCAGTAGATGGCGCTCTAGGCTAGTTTTTTACCCACAGACGTTGCTCTAGGCTGGTTTTTAACCAGCAGATGGTGCTCTAGGCTAGTTTTTAACCAGTTGATGGTGTTCTAGACTAGTTAAGCAACAGACGGTGCTCAAGGTTATTTTTTACCATTAGATGGCGTTCTAGACTAGTTTAACCAAAAGACGGTGCTGTAGGCTAGTTTTTACCAGTAGATGGCATTCTAGACTAGTTTTCAACCAACAGACGGTGCTCTAGGCTAGATTTTACCAGCAGATGACACTCTAGGCTAGTTTTTACCAGTAGACGGCGCTCTAGGCTAGTTTTTACCAGTAGATGCCATTCTAGACTAGTTTAACCAACAGACGGTGCTCTAGGCTAGTTTTTACCAGTAGATGGCATTCTAGACTAGTTTTCAACCAACAGACGGTGCTCTAGGCTAGATTTTACCAGTAGATGACACTCTAGGATAGTTTTTACCAGTAGACGACACTCTAGGCTAGTTTTTACCAGTACTTGGCATTCTAGACTAGTTTTTAACCAACAGACAGAGCTCTAGGCTAGTTTTTACCAGTAGATGGCGTTCTAGACTAGTTTAACCAACAGACGGTGCTCTAGGCTAGTTTTTACCAGTAGATGGTGATCTAGGCTAGTTTTTAACAGTAGATGGCGTTCTAGACTAGTTTTTAACCAATAAACGGTGCTCTAGGCTAGTTTTTACCAGCAGATGACACTCTAGGCTAGTTTGACCAGCAAATAGCACTCTAAGCTAGTTTTTACCAGCAGACAGCGCTCTATGCTAGTTTTAAACAGCAGTTGGTGCTCTAGGCTAGTTTTTACCAGCAGATGTGTTCTAGGCTAGTTTTTACCAGTAGATGGCGCTCTAGGCTAGTTTTTACCAGTAAAGCAGATGGCGCTCTAGGCTAGTTTTTACCAGCAGACAGTGCTCTATGCTAGTTTTAAACAGCAGTTGGTGCTCTAGGCTAGTTTTGAACAGCAGATGACGCTCTAGGTTAGTTTATAACAGTAGATGGCGCTCTAGGCTAGTTTTGAACAGCAGAAGATGCACTAGGCTGGTTTTTAAACTGTACACAAATACACAAGGTAAAGCACTTGTAATTAACTTTGTTATAAAATTAATGTACACAGCTCCCTAATTGTTTTCTTGAACAATTAACCACAGCTCTACTGAACAATCTCGATATATGGTGCATTTCCATAGTCCATCAGTTTATGAACAAATGATTTTTAAATCCGGCACTGACCTCCGTGTACTCTCCTCGCAGGCCAATGTAATACACACGAGTGGATTCTGCTCCAAAATTTCGAGATACGTGGATTGATAAGTGCTCCACATTGGAGAATCTCGCAATCCTGTGCAAACATTAGAGGTGGTCAGCACAGTGTGCAACAAATAGGATGTGCAATTTATGTGCTCGTGATCATGTTAATATTAAAACTGCTTACTTGGTCGGATACTCAAGCTCAGCCCGCGGATCCCTGTTTAGACGAAACGCCTGTTCTGGCTCTCTGCTTGTATCGTCAAATGACATTTGAGGTATGTTCTTGAACCTGCTCAAAAAGTACACAGTACCAACAACTATTTGTGTAAACTGTAATTGCATCACACATATTTCTTTCTCTCTCTCTCTCTCTCTCTCTCTCTCTCTCTCTCTATATATATA